ATTAGACCGCTGGGTTTCTGTTGTCAATGTTGGTCGTCACTCCTGGCACTCTAAGTTCGTTTGCCAGTCTTGCAATTTGTCAGACTCGTTTAACGACCGGTACCTCCCCCTTAAAAAGCATCATAAGAAAGGATGATATGAGGTTGATACTTGCAAATCTTCTGAAATCCTGTTAAGTTGAACGATAGAATAGTATTCCTTTGCCCTTTTAACGGTATTGCAAGCACTGACTTTTCTCTCTGAAGGGTTAGTAACGGTGGCCAATTTACCATTTCAACTTTGTTGATATATTCAAATTATTAACTAAGTGTAATTCGTCATCACTGCATGTATTTGATTTCCTTTAACATCAAATATGGAACCTTTCATCAGTTATCTTTTATTTTATTTTTTTCAATGCCTTAATTTTTTTTTTTAAATAAAGAGCACAAATAAAGACTATTAGTATATACTAAAACAGTGGATGGCGTTGAAGGCGCGCTCTGATTGGCTAGTCAAACTCCGAATATCCTTTGCTATTTACCTCCGAGCAACTCGGGAAAAAATGGCGCCCGGTTTGCATCCGTAACAAGCGAAGAAATCACTCAAATTAACAACGGTGGTGTATATTATCTCACTGTGTTAGTATATACTAAAACAACTATTCACCTCAGTGTCGGTGGTTAGCGTTGGATATTTACCTCGCCGCTTCGCGGCTCGGTAAATATCCACCACTAACCACCTCCACTTCGGTGAATAGTTGTTAATTATTGTCGTTGCTGTTCATGCACACTGCCAGCTTCAATGAAACCAATTGTTTTTCCATAAACACCCCCTTTTCCCTCTCATTATTTGGAAAAAATTCTACCACAAGTATCCCTTCATTAGTTGGCGGTTCTCCACCAGCCAATGATATATTGAAAATATTAATATGTAAGTCAACGAGGGCTTTTTATCCCATTCACGGAATATTCTATGGATACAATTATGAAAAGATGTCCTTTTCCCGCAGCTACAATTATATGGATTTTAAAAAATAAAACAATTCTGTTAAAGATGATCACCTCTTTCCTTATGAGGTAACGAAAGGGACATTGGCAAATTGAAAATTTTTACACTACTATTATATTTAAATATAGTTATAGGAATTTTATACATAAAATTTACCTTTAATCTAAAACTTCCAACCACTCTTAAGTCTACATCCCCTCTGGCGTATTCAACACTAACACAAAGCATATAAATTATGTTAAATACTCTATACTTTAGATGACAAGCCCCTCTCGTGGTGCAGATGCCTTACATTTCTGTACAGACAGCATCCTGACTTTTGAAGAAGCTTATCATCAAATCTCTCCAAGTAAATTTGCCAACGAGATTTCTAAAGGCATCACAATCTTTTACGGGCGCGCCATCATTTGTGTCCATGTTTTGAACTTCCTTTTCTTGACCTGTGAAGTTGGGAGATTCACTCAGTTGGCGCAAGACACGATTGATGCACACGCAAACCGGTATAACAGACGTTCGGTCAGAACGCGACTTTCACGCGTGTGTGTTGATATGAATACCTCACGAATTGTTATATCAGTTATGAGGAACGCACACCTACAAAAACAATGCTCCCTGAGGTTTTCTCGATGTACGAAAGGATTTCAAATTGCCCCGATTTTTTCTACGGACCCTGAGTTTCTTTGGGACCAGCAGGAACCGTGATTAGGATAATTCAATGAGCAGATTACCACGGAATTGACAAGAGGTAACGAGACAAGTTTGTAAATAGCCCCTATTTTTGGGTCTTGCATTGTTTGACGGGTAGGAGGGGTGTAAATAAATCCTTTCTCCGTATCCACAGGGGGCAGGGGAAGCCCAAGACCCTCTTGACCCTTCCCACACGGACGAGGTCACTGTGAACACGCAGCTCTTTTCTCAAAAACCCCTTACCTAGACCTGAGCAGAAATTAACCGCCCCTCACATTTACGGTAAATACACGTTAAATGTACGAGATACCTCAAACTTCCAACTAACAGAGGATCGAGCGCATAGAGCCAATCATAAGCATCTTCCTCCTTCTCCGTTGTGTTACGCACAAGAAATCTGCAGTGTTTCGTGCGAATTGAGAATACACTGAACGACTGAAAGAGATTGTAAAGCAGTCCCAGTTTCAAGATTTACAAGATTAATTTCTCATTCATTCGTATGGGGAAACAAATAACTGTAATAAAGCCATAAAAACGGGCTTAAACATCCAACTTTTTGTCATTATTTCAGTACAACTGTTCCCTTTAAGCAGATTTCAATTGACTGCCGTAAAACTAAAACCAAAGTAATTTGGTAATACCAACTACGTTGAAATTGTAAATTGGCCACCGTAAAGAGTTAAAAAGCTGACGTTTCGAGCGTTTGCCCTTCTTCAGTTCGAATTTGCTCTGACGAAGGGCTAACGCTCGAAAAGTCAGCTTTTTAACTCTTTACGGTGGCCAATTGACAATTTCGACTTAGTTGATATTACCAAATTACTTTGTTACCCCCACCGACGCAGCACCACAGTTTCTTTAGAAACTTAACCCCTTTAAAAACCAAAGTAATTACAAAAGAACGTCATAACAAAGATTTGAATCATCCTTAACCCAGGAGGAGTCAAAATTCTGACCACACTCAGGCAAGATATTCAACGTGAAAGTTTATTTAGGATGAGTCAGCCAGTCTTGTAGTATACGCACCCTACTACAATCTGCAACGTACTGCAAGTATTCACTGAAACTGAAGGGTTATACAAAAATAGCCTGTGCTACGCCAGATACGAAAAACCACTAAAAAACCACTCTTAAGAAGTGGCCAATTACTACGTGGAAACGTATTCCTCATCTACTGCAGCAGCACTGTACCCCGAGGAAAGGGTAACTAAAATAAACCTAGTTACACTACTAATCACACAAAAATTCAATGAAAGCCGTGATATTTTACAGAGAGTTGTAAAACAAAAAAGAAAGTGATCAAACCCTAGACTGACCGACCCGGCTAGAATGACTTAATTTTCCCGCGAAACGCTTAAATAATCCGAAACTAACGTGCTGCCACGCGAACCTCTTCAACGTGCCGTCAGAATATTAATTTCTGACTAATTCGTTCCCACGTCACTCAAACGTCAGAAATTACATCTACCAAGAGCGCGGGAAAACACAGACGACCAAATCAAGATTGGTTTTCATTTGGTGTCTGATTGGTTTGGAGCATGGCGCGTGCTCTTTGGACCAATCGAAGACCAAAGAAAGCAAAAACCAAAGAAAACCCAAATTACTTTTGACAGGAGGTAGTGTGGCCGAGTGGTTAGAGTGTCGGACTTGTAATCCGTCGCTCCCGGGTTCGAGTCCCACCCTGACCACTGGATCTGTTTCACAGTAGCCCCGAGTTCAGATCCTTGGCCACCCTTGTAGATAGCCAACTAGTTTGCCTCCGGCCAGTTGGGGTTCTTAATGATGTTCTTAATGATGTTATGTTCAATTTAGACCATTTGTTTCATTTATTTGCAAGGACCACAATGGAAACTACTGGTTCACCAGTAATTGTGTAATCCTATAAAAAGACTTTTTTTTTTTTAGGTCAGGAAGATTATTAACTTGAAACTAACAGTCTCGTATTGCTATAATATACCCAAAAAAAAGAACTACAAATTCTCACCACAACATAGTCAGGACACTCCACTTTAGAACGCTTCAAGTTGATCAGAAACTGTTCAACCTGTGACCAATCACAATCAAGAACATTAGATGTAAACTGAGGCTCTAAATTTCAAGTCACTTAAACTATTTTTCTGGAAGATTTTACTCACTGGGTCCCCTTCCTGGCGATAGAGAAGCACGTAAGGTTTCCGAACAACCTGAAATGATATAAAATAGATGAATAAAACATCACACCGTTCTAAGAGACGCTGGTTGGTTCAGTAGAAACTGTGCTGCCAAAAAATGAGAACCTCTGCGCACGAACGAGGAAATACGCTGCGAAAATTTCTCACTGAAGGCAAACCCATACGAGATGTAGCAAATTACAAGAGTTGCAATGAGATTTTATACTCACTACATAACATTTGCTCCATCTACAGCTGCACTCGTCCATAATGTGAAGGTAACCTCGCTTGCTTGTCACCGGGCTGTGGATCACAGATTCAAGATCGAATCACGAGTTTTTGAGGCAGTGTGGCCAAGTGGTTAGAGTGTCGGACTTGTAATCCGCTGCTCCCGGGTTCGAGTCCCACCCTGACCACTAGATTTGTTTCACAGTAGCCCCATGTTCAGATCCTTGGCCACGCTTGTAAATAGCCAACTGGTTTGCCTCCGGCCGGTTGGGGTTCTTAATGATGTTATGTTCAATTTAGACCATTTGTTTCATGTGTTTGCAAGGACCACAATGGAAACTACTGGTTCACCTGTAATTGTGTAATCCTATAAAAAGACTTTTTTTTTTTTTTTTGATTTAATCCATCAATATCATTCTCTCAGCATGGGACACACTTAAAAATTGCATTTTTTCGCAGTTCGACGTAGTAGCTTTGTCTGGCAGGTTTCCAGGATGAACTATCTAAACTGATTAGCTAATGAAAATAGAATTGTAACGGAAGGCCCCCCCCCCCCACAAAGTTACAATGGATAAACGTAGCAGAGACGGTAGTAATTGTAGTAGGTATGTTCTCGAATGTGGTTGTGTTCATACATTCTTTTTGGCGATTCTCCCTTTCACTGAGAGATCACTCAATTATTTATAAAAAATGTAAACTCGTCATTCTATGACATCGTTCACAAACCGTCTGGAACACAATCCGGTAATGGAGGACAGTTAATACGCAGAAATCGAGGTCAAAAATAAGAAATAACTACTACAAAAAAACTAACAGAACAAAATCAACAGACTTCTCGTTGAAATGGAAGTTCAATAATTGGAAAAATGACTGGGCTCAAAGTTAGTATCTGAACAACTGTACACCTACCCCTCCATCCCCTAACCCAACAAGTTAGGGATAATGTTAGGTTGGGAGAGGGGTGGGTGCGTAAGTGCTTAGACGCTGACATTGATCCCATTTTTCCACCTTAGGACACTTTTGACGCTCTCAGAGCGACACTCACTCCCACTGTCGCTAAACAGAAAACATGGAGGCCAATAATAAAAGCAATAAGAAAAAACAAAAATTATGGTGGGGGATTACTTACTTTCTCCTGACAAGAAACACCTCTGGTACGTAATACTCCACTTTAGATTCATCTTCTTGTTCTTTTTCTTGTATTTCCAACGCGCTCGCACTGCCCTCAGACGAAGGAACTCGACTCTACAAACAATTAGAAGAGAGAAACTCAAAGCATGTATTACAAAATACGAGAAAGAGAAACTGCTTTCTGTTGGAGTCTTGATTAAGCGTTAACGCTTTCACACCCAAGATCTGATAGGTAATCAGTCTCCCCTGAAGCTGCTACACACTTTTTTGTAAACAAGTTACGTAAATTTGGTTCTAGATCAATATTTCAACTTCTACTTAAAAAGGTTGAGTATTCTCATAACCTGTTTTCTGGATAATGCATGGATATTTTAGGGAGAAGTTACTTGTCAATCACACCTAGGAATTGAAGGGTTCAATTTTATTCTTACTTTCAAGCATCTTTGGGTAACAAGTACGCTTCAATTGCAACCCTTAACACTATCCCAATTACATTGACTTCATCTCTTAGAGAAGGAGATATAGTGTGCCAAAGACAATAATGCATAAATCACTCACCAAAGCCTTGGCTTCACACAAGTGCTTTCTCCACGTTAGGAGACGAAGACACTGAAAAACAACATGTAAAAAAAAAAAAGCCAAATCATGCAAAAGTGACTGCTTCTATGATGACACTTATTTATTTATTTATTTATGCACCGACAGCCAGCACTTCAAAGAGCTTCTAGGAATATTTTCGAGTCAGCGAAACGCTACGTGGCTACAAAAAAGGTCCTAGTAACCTCCGGTGGAATCGCAGGTTCATTAACTATTCGAAATCTAGTGTCCATAAACTATTTCACGTAAACAAAAATTTATCTCTTTTTTTCTTTATTCTTTTTTATTTTCTTAATAAAGATACATGATCACATCGACGTGTCTATCATTAACAAAAATAACAGTAGTCGTCCATTACCTTTGTTATCAAGTTTTCTTTAACTTTCTCAGGGTTAACATCTCTTGTAAAACGCAGTGGTTTCCCAGCCGGAAGTGACGCAACTGACAGAAACGAGGAAGATAACGAAATAGAACCCAGGCTAGTCCGGCTGGAATAGGTACTTCCAGCCGAGAAAATTCCCGGATCAACCAACACGTTGTCGGGACGGTCAGAGGACATGAGCGTCTCACCAAGGCACAGGATGTGACGAGTTTTACTCACCTTGGAAATAAGAATTTGTTACAAGAAAACTTCACAAACTATGTTTGACGAAAGGTTGGACATTGCTACAATTACTGCAGATATAAATGGCTATTTAAAATTGACCTATTCTTCAAAGACTGACGAAGAACCCGGTTCCAAGACGGAAAGATTTCTAAAGCAGTGTTTGATAAGAAAACCGTATTCGTTAAAAAGGCGGCAACATTTGACGCGCTATCAAAGAGAGAGAGTTTGAAATCACGTTAACTCCGCGCAAGGAAGTTTGAAAACTCTTTTTTAATGGCATTAATTGGCATCAGCTCTTTACTGGTCTGCAACTACTCAGCCACTCCACTACTTTCATTCCATTCCGCCTTAAGTATTAAACAAGGATTCCTTCCTTGAACCCCTAGTCTTCCTTAGTCTCTCACAGTCCTCCACGGTTTACTCTCCTTTTTTCCTTTGCGCATGCACAAAAACCCGAGTAGGAAGCCATGGCTATCATCACTTACCTCCTGAATTCTCTCCAGTTTATCTAAATGTGACTGATGCTCATCAAGCAGTGATATTCCCCTCGGTTTCCACTCACCAAGGTTTTCTTCTCCTCTTACATAAATACTCGAAGTGTCCATCACTGCTCTCTTCTTCGTTTTCATCACTACACAAACAAGAATACACTTCGGTCACATCAACAGCGTACATGCAGGTACATGGGAAGAAATAATATAGTTTGTTGGTTTCGTTAAACGAGACTCTCTGAAATAGCAGATGTGTAAAAGCGAATTGGTGAATTTAGCATTGCTTTACTCCGTGGCGGTAATTCAAAACCAAAATAATTACTACAACCATCGTACGAAAGGAAAATCTTGTAGGGAAGTAAAGAGAACTTGAAGCAAACACATGTAAACTGTCTGAAGTGTGGGGAAACATGACAAGTCAGGTCGACATTGCTTTCAGTTTTGTATCTGATTGTTAGAGAAGGTTGAGCGAAATTTCTGGAAACCCACAGCGCGTAGAAAAGCAAAATTCAAGCCGTTGTAGTTCCCAATTACTTCCGACCCTCGATAAGAAATTCCTTGAAGACAGTTACTTACGTTGGCCGTGCTCATCAGCGGGATGGAATACCAGTTCAAATATATCGCTGAGTTTATCACTACACAACAAGAAAAAAACAATAAATCGAATAAGCTGACACTAAAGATCCAGCAATTCAGTTAGATAACAGCAATTTTAAAATCCAACCATCTGCTTTAACGGCGTAGGCTGATGTATAACTTACTTTTCAGGACGTCGCGAAGAACCGAACAAACTCCACACAGACCTGTAATTAGACAAAATAAAGCTTGGAAAAGAGTCCTGAGTGCCAAGTGCTGAACAGACAAATAAAACCAACGGTTTGTAGTTTTCCTACCGTGAGGAGGTTTTGGAATCTCTTCCAAAAACGCAAACGGGAATATCCTTTGTGAGACACGAAGTTTGGCAACAGTTTTCGAGCTGCCAGTAAAAGAAATTCATGAGTTAAAAATTGCTAGAATCTTCCATACCCCGAGGAAAAAATGGTCTCATTCTATTGTCTTGTTCATACTCATGAGAAAGCATCTTGGTTGATTTCAATTTCTTTGAAATAAAAGCGAAACTTAACACTGAAACAGTTCTTACAACACAAAGTTGAATTTTGATGTAATCAAACAAAACGAACCTCAAGGTACGCAGATATGGTAACGAACACAAGCTCTCCTGGCGGAGTCACCCTGCAAGGTAGCATACGTGAAAAACGTAAGGCAAATCACGGCATTCTCACAACCTACATACATACAAATCCGGCAGTTCACCTGTTCAGTAAAATGGAATTATGAAGCGATGAGTCCCAGGCTGCTTCGAACCTGAATACGCATTTGTTTTCATCCGGGTGGGACTGGACTTGAGGTGACAGCACGTTTAGTGATACAGTATGAGGTGAACTTTCCCCTGAAGGGGGAAGGGTGACAGTTGTGCGTACACGACCTGTGAGGAAACCAATAAACTCAGGGTAAGTCTTTTGCGCGTCCTTCGACTGATTTTGTTTTAACCATCGTTGAACAAAGTTGGATGTCCGTTGAGCCAGCTGTGACAATGATCACAAAACGAAACTTAAGCTAATATTTACTCTCTTGCACCATTAGGTAGACCGCGAATTCTTTAAAGCAAGATTTCCACGATTTATCCGGTTAAAGATGACTCGTGAGTAGGTCCTTTGTCGTCCTTACATTCCGAGCTCGGAATTAAGGACTTTTGACCAAACCCAGTTGTCCAAACCCAGTTGTCCAAACCCAGTTGTCCAGTCCCTAAGCCATTAATTAAGGGCTGTTGTCGCAAACCGATAGAGTACTGAGGAGCGTTTCGATTGAATGTCCAAGATTGCATTAGTTTTCCCAAGAGCATATCAACCCGTTGATATGCCCCTTGTTTTCATTGACTTCGCTATGTTTTTCATCTAGAAAACTCTTACCGCTAGCACGACCAAAAGTAAATCGAGTTGGTCACTTGTGTATTCTGGCGCTTAAGTTCGGTTACGCGTACTTACTTTGAGTTCTGAGTGGCTCTTTGTGGTATTTTTCCTTTGTTTTAATTGGCTTCTCTTTTGGTTTTAAAGCACTCAATCGAAAGGGCACTATGTCATAAGAATAAACAGCTGGCTTACCCACAGCAAGTTCTGTGATTTTTCTGATTCTGATGTCCATAGAGTTCTCGTGTATTATTGTAACAACAAGGCGCCTTTGGATTCCCTTAAAATAAAAATCATCCCGAGTCAAAGACTTTTCATCAACAACACTACTCTGTGAGAAAATATGCTCAATAATCTCATTATATACACAGCTACTAACAAATCTACTAACAATGGTTATGATCTTGACTTCCCATACCTTTCCCTGAGTCTGCAAACGATGTCGAAGTTGCTAAGTACAGGTAAGAAGCATAAATCACAAGAGAATGTGTTACACCTAAGAAAAAACAATGATACCTGATGAAGAAGGAAAACTCCACCACAAGGTGTGTCATTTTTACGTATCACAACACAAGGAAAATACCTAAAAACAAGCAAATCATAGCACGGTTATAAAAATACAGCAGGGAAAAAGGAACTTGAAAACAATCTGAATATCTATTTGGTTATACCTAGTTTGCTAAATACTGTGGCGCGACGAATTAGCATAACTAATACGAAGGAGAACAGGGAACGGAAAACAAATTTCACTTGAGGAAAACAAATTCCTTGATTGATAAGGATCAATCCCGCAGTGTTTGTGGGAACATCTTTGAGGAATCAATTATATTTTAAAGCACACAGTAATAATCTTAATCTGCTTCCTAATAACATTCTGGCCATAACAATAATATGCCCTTTGCAAAACAATTTTCGACCCTATCACTTCCAAGCGCGACAAGAAAGGAATTTGTCTTTGTACCAATATTTTGTCAAGTAAAATGATGACGAAAAGTAAAAGAAATACCAAAAAGAGAATACTCTGATTTACGATCAAATTCCCAAAGCTAGCAATTTCATAAATGCATGGTATGTTGGGTGGAGAATTGGTATTTTGATGACGGGAGTCCATTGGCACATCCCTGGCAAGATTTCAAAACTTACTCTCCAGACGGTGACATTTCGAAGACCTCAACCCACACCAACAAATCAAACTTAAGAGTTCCTTCTTCGTCACTAAAAAGAAACGAAAATATCACGCATAACACGATCAAATGTTTTTCCTCATTTGGTATATTGGGGTTGGAGAATTTTGGTTGTGTCATAACAAAAATTCACCTTATCCCCCCCCCCCGACTCTAGTATTCTACTAATTCCCCAAATTGACAGTATCCTATTTATACTCTGTTAGCGACGACTGATTCCCCACCCGTCCCCCCTGAAAACCATGTGATCCCACCCAAACCCCGCCTCCCTCCAAGGATAAGCAGTGACTTTTACCTCAAGTTCAGAGAAATTGTTCTGTAATATTTCTACAGCGCAAAACAAGCGGAAGTTTAAGAACGGTGTGCATCAACTAATACTGAGCAATTACTTACCAGGATTGAAGTGGCAAAGGAACAGCAGGTGACGATTCTAAAACAAAAAAAAAAGGACAACAACAACAAAAATAATCTTGCCTGAGTAATTGCTACTCAACTGGCACAAGCTTCTTAATATGCAAAAGTTTAAACAAATGAACAATTTTGTAATCATAAACTGAAAAGGAAAGAAGCAAGAAGAAGTCCAGAGTCATTTGTTACCTTTAAGATGTTTAGAACCAGTTTCCCCTTCCTTCACTATAGCCCTAACAGAACAAAACCACACTACAGCAAATCAACACTTTTCTGGTTTGAATAAACATTTAAGTAGAAAACTACTCCTGTTTCCTTCCCTTATCTCCCTTCACAAACCATTCAACAGACTAAGGCGTATCATAAGGTATATAAAAAAAATTACGCGGTTCTGATTGGCTAAAAACGAGTACATTCTCATGTAACACGAGTGTTCATGTGTAACAAGAGTGCAAATTTCAAGTAGCGCGCGCACGCTTTCAAAACTTCGTCTGTCTTGTAATATGATTTTTCTTGCACTTTGATGTAATAAGCACTAGTAAATTTTTCAAAGGCTACAAATTTCACTCGCCCTTCGGACTCGTGCAATTCACTTGTGCTTATTTACACCAAATTGCACTGGAAATCACGTTATTATCCATACTAAACGTATTGCTGATCCTAGCAATAAGCAGGACGCATGTTACATATGAACCTACGTAATGGCCTCGCTCACCAATGAGTTCCTTAGAGTTCATAGAGAGCGAATAGAAGCGCGAAATCTGAAGGTCTGGGGTCCGATTGCTCGAGGACGACTAGGTTCTCTTCTTGTTCCACACTCATGACAAAACATATAAGTGCTTTTTTTACTTAATGTATCAGTTTCCACTCAGGGATCGATCGACACTCTACAGGTAGTCTCCGAATAACATACTAAGTGGGCAGTATTCCTAACCCAGAAAACACAGTATTAACCCATAAACAACTGTAAAAGGTTCAAATATAAGACTATACATTCTCCTCAATCGAGCTGGACCACTGAGGAGAATCTGCATATTGATCAAACCTTGGAAGCTGCGATCTTGATTGATGCTGTGGGTGATGCAGATAATGACCGAACACTTCAACCTGCAGGGGCCTGGTGCTGATGTAGTCTATGAACTCTCTTGTTACCACAACGCCAATCTTTAAAAGAAATCAGAGAACAGGAGTTAACGGTGATGTTAAATGGAGAAAAACATCTGCGCATCCCTCTCTTTTTCCTGGAAATTTCTGTCTCTAACAGCTGTGCGATCAAGGCTCCTGGCTTTTGGAAGCAACAGAAGTTAACAGTTGACGAACTGTAATGGTATAATGCTACCGTTTGTCTACCGATGTGAGCCCTTCCGATGTGGATCGCGAAGTTTCGAATGCATAATGGCTGGTCTTTTTCAGGCAATAAGGTTGAATTGTACACGATAAAAAAAAGAAAAAAGGCTTCCTTTCTAAAATAGTAAAACTAGGCATAAGTTTTTCCCCAGCTGTACATAGATGTCTGCAAAGTCGTACTGTACCATAGAGTTTTCATTCTAAGAGACATTTATTAGACTACCAGTCCCTTCTTTTCGGCGAATCCGTCGCGCGCGTCGAAAAAGATTTGTGAAAAAAGTTGCGAAGGGCGCCTCACCGCTTTAAGAAGTGTTTAGCCAACATCAACGCAGTCAACACATAGTTGTCAAATTTTCAGGTTACTCTGGTACCTTTTGGTTAAAGTAAAATCCCAGAGGACCACCATTTGGTTTGTTAGTAACGGGCTCAGTGGAAAATCCTTCATCTTCTTCACTGCATAAAAACCTACAAATAACCAGTCATCGTCACAAAAGCAAGCTACTTTTTCAATTTTTGGAAATACAAGCATGTTTTAAAATATTTTTCACTCGTGTGAAAAATCTTAAAGTTCACCTTATTTGACAGAATATATCAGTGTATTGAGAAGGAATTCCACGAGCCTGCTGTACAGTGATGCTGATCACATAGGGCTGGCCGACATGAAGTGTCCCTTTAGAGAAAGGAGGTTCCTGTACTTCGTCTGCTTCAACCGCTTCTTCAATCTCCTGCCGAAACATTCAGATACGTCGCGGTTTGCAATTCGCGTTCATCTTTTTCCACCCCTAACCATGTTCTCTTCTTTTTGCTTAATTCTTACTTGTTTGAGTAGTAGGGGACCCTGATAGATTCGTAACCAATCAGAGAGCAGATGGAACAATACAAATGGGTACTTGACCAGTCAGATTTCTGCATTGGAAACCAAAATGGCGCAAGTGATTTCGACATTGCTTCATGAGCCCCTGTTAATATTCTTTGGTGTTTGTCTACCCCGTTCCCACTCAACGAAATCGTCCAGTTAAATTTCCGGATAACTCCGAGGAATAATCGTGCGATTTGAGATCGGATGATAAGAATCGAAAATTTGTCGGAATTTGTCGCAAGATCACCAGAGCCATCCTCGCACTTTTCTCAAAGATGGTTAATGAAAGAAGGCAAGTTTAAGATCCGGGACAATTTAACAAGACTTTGTACTTTTCCGACACAGAGACCTACATTTTTAACTACTTTATCCTCTTGAGGTCTCGTTATTCAGTTACAGTTGAGAATAGGAAAAAAAAGACAAAGACTTTTAGAGTCTAATAAAATATATTTACTGCCGATCATGTTTCACCTCGTTCTCACTCTTCTGTTCGGGATCATCAGATAGGAAATTTAACCACAGAACACAGGAGTAACCCGTTTCGTCCACCTGCCAAGTGCCACGATCTGCGACAGAAATATGGTAAATATTCAGAACAGTAATGCGGTCGAGGGATTCAGTCCTTAATAGCTGGCCACTGCGGGAGTTTATCGGGGTCTCCGTCGGACGAAGATCCACAAAGCACCTACTCATCCTACCTTACAAGTGAGTCAAGTGTGATGTCCGCGAACAAGACACAGTAATCCTTGGCCAATGGACTCAACATGAATGCCAATGAAACTTAAAAGTTTCATTCTAAGAGGACTAAGGAAGGTGAAAAGTTATCTAAAACAGTATTGTTTAAGTGACAGAATCAGTACCAGTGCACTGCTGAATGTTGATGGACAGGTTCCCTTGTATGTCTCCCAATTCACTTACAATCGGTACCGTTTGCTCCAGCGCAACACCAAATATCAAGTTGCTCAGGTATACAAACGATCTGTTGACAAAAATGAAGCAGAGATTTAGTTGTCTAATGGTAATCCCTGTGTTTATGTCGCCAATTTGGAAACCAAAGCTCAGACAAAAAAGGTAGGGCTTCAGACCTGTTGGGGCCAGCTACGCTTGGCGAACTAAACACAATAACTCGTACGCGTCCAGATTCTTTGTAATGTAATAACAACTACAACGATTTTCATGCAGCTATCTAACGATTCAAAGTTATAGGGCTTATTGCTTCTTCAAAACCGACCAAAAAAACTACGAACGCACCTGGCGTGGGAAACTGCGCCATCTATCCATATCAGCAGCACTTATCAGTTCACGTAAACTTAACGAATCGTACAAGACCTATCGACAGCACGCAAATTAGGGGACTTGGCGGGTTGCCTGCGTTCATTTCGTAAAATTTACAAATGGCTTCTGAAGGTAAGATATCGACGAAGACATAACTAGCTATTATCAATAATGGACCCGGTTGGAAGTTTTTCACACAATAGCTTACTTTCTCAGTTTTTCCCCTTTTTTTGTAAGGGAAAAGAATTCGAGACAAAAATTATTTTAAAACTTTTTAGAGACTCTCAGCTGCAATAGTAGTTTAAATCAAAAGCTAAAGCTGATATACCTTCCAATGAGTCTGAACCATGGAAGTGAGTCGTAGAAAGGGTCAGCAGAGTCAAAAGAGATTTTACTGTTAGTTTCTGCGGCGGTGTCATACAAAAAGCGCATGTCTTCCAGTCGGTCCCTAGGAAGCAAAATAATACGGTTGAGAGGTAATGCCGTAATATTGGTACTTTTGTTTAGAAAAACAAAACCCTTCTAACATAGAGTTGTTTGTTTTTTTTTTTTTTTATTTAAAGTAAGGTTTGATATAGGCAAGCAAGTTAAATTTGATGAGAACCTTACTCTTAACAAAGACACCAAATTATAACAAGCCTTTTGTAAAACGTTGCAAAATAGGTAAGCAAAATTAAGTCCACCGAAAAACCATAAAAAAACTTACGAATAGGAACCTCTTTTTAAGGGTGAAAAGAAGCATAAACCCTTCTCTTACACTGTCACGAAAACAGATTTTCGTGAGAAGATAACATTATTCCTGTGATATAAGAAGTCAAATGCCCTAAAGAATTTTTGTCGCCGACTTGTCCAAGAAACAACTGCGTAAGTTGTATTATTAACGACAAGTTTGATTGTGTTCTGACTGAGCGCTCACCGTAGCTTTCCAAGTGACCAGTAGTGTGAGGCGCCATGTTTCATGTCTTTGACCTCCACAGCCAGTACAGTGGGGTTATCCTTGTGTCTGACATCACTCAAAAGAAACGATGGAAGGGGAGTGTAGAGTGTGTCTGTTAACAGCGTAAATTGAAACTCCACCTGCAATGACAGAGACGGTTGAGTCTTCACTAAAGACCCTGCGAAGTTGCAATCAACTCTCTCATGTTTCCATCACCGTGAATATACATCTCCGTAAAATACCGTCATTATGAAAAATTTAAAAAAAATAATAATTTCAAAAACCCTCGTGTCGTTCGCTGGGGACTAAAGCGCACAAGATAAATGACCGATACCGTGAAATATACATCGTCGTAAAATACCGTCATTATGAAAACATTAAAAAAATAATAATTTCAAAAACCCTCGTGTCGTTCGCTGGGGACTAAAGCGCACAAGATAAACGACTGATACGAAACACAGACTATGGTTGCTATTTGAATAAAGGCTGAAAGTTTCTAAAGAAACTGTGGTGCTGCGTCGGTGGGAGTAACAAGGTCATTTGGTTATATCAACTAAGTTGAAATTATAAATTGGCCACCGTAGCGAATAAAAAAGTTGACGTTTCGAGCGTTAGCCCTTCGTCGAGCTTTTTATTCGTTACGGTGCCCAATTTACAATTTAAACTTAGTTGATATAACCAAATTAAGGTTGCTATTTAACCACTGGACCCCTTTGAGTGACTAGTATCTAATTTCTCCGCACAATTTCACCCCTGCATCATTCTTATAAGGTCATGAAAATAAATTAGATGATCCTCAATTAAAGAAGCTCTTGATTCTTCAACAAATTCTCCTTGTCAGCACCTTAGGAAATGTATAGAGAATAGTAAGGAGAATACGCATACTGATGTTAGGATGTGAAAGGTTACGGTGCATGGTATTACCTACCTTCTTTCTCAACTCCACGCTGATGGCGTTCGCTTCTTTTAACAGAACTGCATGACTCAATAAGTCATCCTCAAGTTCAAACAATGAATATAAAGCGCAGAATGAAAGGTTCATCCAGTGGTATCTACATAGAAGGGACCGGTCAAAGAGTTGATCACCTGATGGGGAGGGGTTCTAATAGTCCCCTCTCATTGGCAATCAATTTTCTTTTTTCTCCCACCCATTAAACTTTGTTAGAGACGACTCTAAAAACCATGTGATCCCCTTCCCAAAAAAGCGCTCCGACACCCCCCCTCCCCCAAACAGGTGATAAACAGTGACTGGTCCCTATGTAATCAACCTCGTTCCCAGGGCCTCTTCGCTTAGTTGGGGAAAGGCCCTGGAAACGATGTTGCTACGTAATGATAATAAGAAACTGTAACAGATTCAAACCAACCCTGAGTGAGGTGCATACATAACATCTCCACTTGTCGATCACTACTTCCGCCAAGTTGAGCTCACGTTCGGTCAGTGGGCTTTCGCCTGTAAGAAATTCAATTTCTTGTTATTAATATCAGCTCTCTTAGGGGAGTGCCATCGCAACAGTTCTAACGTTATTCACATTGACATCCCCTGCGAACATTTTGGGGTTCTAAACTGTGACACAGTTCGAATGACAACAACAGAAACGTGTTGTGCGCCACAACGCAAAGGTTTATGCCCAACTCTACTGACAATTTCAATTTCAATTTCGCTACAGGAAACGAGCAGGCACCCACAAGACTTTTTCCTTCTTCTTCTTTGATCTACGTGACAATCTGAGAATTGATATCAGCGAAGTTTGGTTACAAGTTTTCAACACGAACATGCTCTTATCCTTCTCGTCTTACTTGCATTCCCCTATCTTCTTCTTCGTTCTAGGAGGGGCACAAGGCCTCAACTGACCCTAACATGTCAACGCGTGTTATTCTGTTGGTCACAACAATCACTGAAGGAAGGTAATCAAAAAATAGAAGAAAACGATTCTCACTGTCAAAACTGTCGACATCTATGTCACTGTCCACTGATTCACTGGATGGTACTGACGATTGATCCATCTGTGAGACAAAAAAAATCCACAATTGTTTCTCTTAAGAAACTCATAAAAAAGTCTCGTTCTCGAGAACTAAAAAACATATGAAGTATAAAGAAAAAAAGGATATCAATTCACCAGCGGTTTGTTATCATGCACTAAAAAAAAAATACCCTGTTTTAAGACTCTGGGTGAATATGGAATTATTCCAAAACCTCTAAAGATACTGAGCCTACAAAGTAGAGAGCCTATGAGTTACCTACCAAAATATCTCAATGTTTACATCACGCAACGACTAAGCAGAGAGAGGGGGCACGTATTACATCGTATGCGTAAAAATAAGTCTGGACACAAATGCCATGCTTACAACCTCGTTTACCATCAACTTTTTTGTTACAGTTATTGAGTCAATTTAAGAAGTGTTTTCGTCCCATATGCATCACTCAGTTATATTTGAATATTAGGTCTTTTATAGTAGAAGCGCGACCGTTAAGTGTTTTGCGGAGAAACACTGGTTATGATGGCTCTTTGCTTCTAAGCGTGCCGTGACAAAACATACCTCTCTAGACCCCAAGATTTGGTAATATCTGCTCTCTTGTTACAATATCGACACGAATTCTTACAGCATTACCTAACTTTGTTCTGCCACTGCTTTAAATAAACTTTGTTCGCGACAGCTATCCGCTTTAATAACTGCAACATGGCCACCCTTTTTGTGTGTGTGCGTGTGCGTGTGTGTGTGTGTGCGTGTGCGTGTGTGTGTGTGTGTGCGTGCGTGTGCGTGTGCGTGTGCGTGTGTGTTTTTAACGAAAATTCACTTTGAGTTCCTAAGGGTATCAGTTCAATTTAAGCATATCAGTTTAGTTTAAAGTAACGCGAGGAGTGCGATTGTGCTACTAGGAAGACGAGACGAAAAAAGAACTAAGTTTTTGCTGCTCTCGCGTCTGCCTTTCACTCGCGTTTATGTTAGGACAACCTAATGAAACAGCTATCACTTAAAAACAATCATACAGTAGTTAAAATACTGAGTTGTCCTAGAGAAAACTCAAAGGCGTAGACATGAAGTGGAACGAGGATGATATCGAGCATATGTCTTGAAAGGAGCATGTGCTTTAGAGTGTAGTCCAATGATATATATTTTAAAAAAAAATCAAGTCTGCACAACGTAAAAGTCCAAACTTAGGTCTTGTCTGGCAGTCTTCAATAAAGAGATCTTATCGATTCATCACCAGAGTTCCTCCAACCGAAGCATTAAGTACCTTAGCAAAGCTTTCAGTAGTTGATGCCCGTCCGTGACGAACACGGCGAGTATCCTTCGAAGAAAAGTGAATTTGTGCTGTTTTCGTTTGTGGAAAGATCCACATGAGTTTTTTCTTTTTACATGAAGAACCGTGCAGAGAAACCTTCTAAAAGGTGAAAGAGAGAGAGAGAATAAGAAATTACAGAGCAAAGAAATCTATTTGAGATGTTCTTTCACCAAGCAGTGCACAGGTACCCTGCAGCCTTGTAACTAGGCGATCTCGTCTTGTTCACTTGATTTGGTACAAAAATTCAGAACACACTAGATGACAATCTCAGGTCCCGCTCACACGAAGATGACTCTTTCGCGACTGGACGAGAGCTCCTAGGAACTAGCCTGGCAAGTACAATGACATCTAAAAGTAATTACGCATACTTAGGAACAATACTTACTCTACCTTTACCATATTAATCATTAGTATTATAAAATCTAAGAGTTTAAAAGTTAAGACAAAATTTAATAAGAAATAGTTGTAATTTAGGTTGAGACTCTCGAAGAATTTGCTGCTTCTCTGTTTAGGACTAAAAGCTTTATTGCATTTTAGACGTTGGAATATCAGTCTGTTTAGATGTTGAAAGATAAAAAAGGACAAAAACATTTCAGATCATATTTTTTGTTGTACTCAAAAGGACGAGTTACCTGGCGCTGAAGTTCCAGCAGTCGCGTTTCATAGCTCTAAGTAAGGAAAACAGGACAAAGATATAGTTGAAGGTTTCAGTGTGGGTCGATTTTCATGGGTCGTTATGTCAATCAATGCATTTACGATTTACATAAATTGTTCGATTGCCATTACCAGTCTCTGCTGCTCTAAAAGCAAATCTGCTTGATCTTTTTCTCTTTTAATTTGCTCCTCGAGCTCAACCACCCTAGTTAAAGAAAAAAAAAAACAGTTACAAGTAACACAATAGCCAAAATTCAAAAACTAACATAAAATAAAAGCCATACCTTTCATTCATCTCTTTTACATCCCAACCCTGTTCTCTTAGCAGTTCCAACACCGCAAATGACCAGTCCACGGGTTCCTCTGCTTTACTCTCACTTTTTCCTGTCCAATAGTGGAAAAATAACTTAATTGACCAGATTTTTGAGATCATTTTTTCAAACACATGTTAACTACCAATGGATTCATCTCTTTAGTCTTTTTTTACTGGAGATCAACGTGATCAAAATCAAGATGGTAAGACGTGGAGGCTTTTAGATCTCTAAATAATCAAATAGCTGCTTTCAAGAGCAATTTTCCGGGATTGTATCGTTTTTGCCTTACTTCGCTCTGTGATTGGTCCAAAAAAAAGCACTCCATTCTCAGCACGCCTCTCTCTCTCTCTCTCTCTCAACCAATCAGCTGCAAAACTACAACAAATCGGAAGAACGCCGCTCGTGCCTTCACGCTTATTCTCTTTGAGTTTTTTGGCGCCTTAAAATATTTTGCGAGACAAAGAGACCAAAGACAGAAGACCAAACATGAACAACGAAGCAGACTACATTCTATAACTCTCTATTTATAATTGCATTAACGACAAGTGAACTGTTAACGTACCATTTAAGTCCTCGAGAAGATTCCCTCGAGACTGACGGATACGCTCCTCACGAGCTAAATGACAGTGTAAAGAAAGCAAGAGGGTTTCTTGAAAAAATATACAAACAGTGCCGAGACAGAGAGTCCATAAAACAACGAAACAACCAAATATTCGAATAACAATAAATCCAGGTTATATTTTTAGTCCGAGAAATGGGAAAAAAACAAAAACAAAAACTTCTTTCCTTTCGATTGGTAACCGGAGTAAAGGTCTACAAGTACTTACACATGGGGTATCTGTTACAAAATGTGGTTTTAGAAGACCATTAATGATGTCAATTAATTTGTCAATCATTTAAGTGTAACATAATTTTATATTTAGATCTTCTTCTGTGGGAGCACTTTCCCATCATGTTGGCCATATGAACGCCATGATCTCGAAGCCTGGCGAGATTTTTTGCGCTCATTCCCTTGCGCGTGATCCACGCTTACGCTCACTTCGTGCTTACCTCAAATCGCCCAAAAAGTGAAATTACGCCTGTTTTGCAGCTAGAAACAGCTGACCATAGCTTCTTACCTGGTGACTCAATTTTTTTCTCGCTATGACTGACGCCTCGTGCTAATTCTGTGCTGTAACATTATCTACCATCGTAATTTCAATATACTACCTAGACGTAACGAATGCTAATTGCAGCTTAGAAAGTTAGCAATTACTCATTACATCCTAACCTTGATCGGGAAAATTAAATCTGAATACGTGATTATTTCCAAGAATGATACGAGCCCCTCAAAAACACAATTGTAAAGAACAACAACACTGAGTCTGAGCAAGATAAAGTGAACAAATACTCTTCGAAATTTACAAGAAAACGGATAGACAATGAAGTTTATTTCTTCATTACAAAATTGACCTGATCTCAACAGTGTGGATTCTGTGATCAGCTTTCCATTGACGAACGTACGGCTATTCTCGCATGGAATTATCTTCACTACACCTGCAATAAACAGGACAATAACAGTCTAGTTTCAATGATATCAGCATCTTCGTAATTTTATTCGTCATCATCACAGTTTTTACTTTAATTTCTTTTGAAAGTTGTTAATAATATTACTGTCGTCAATACACAAAAAGCTAACATGGTGTTTGTCATGAAAGAGATAAACTCTATCCTCTAATCTCAAGGGCTATGGAACTTCAACTTACTTAACTACTGCAATAGTTTTCCAACCTGCGACGAAATCTTGCGGATTTCGTACAACGAGAAGATCTTAATATAGCGAAAACGTTTATAAATTGAACGACAACGAGAATCATTCTTGGCAAGTGCGATTGAAAAAGTATCACCTTAACAACATGCAGTCTTCAAAGTTCACCCACTCACCTTGGGTGTGTTCTAAGAGACAGTGCTCATCAAGAATATTTTCCCCGCTGAGCTGAATATCTTGATGACTCTTTGCCATAGCTTGACCAACTCTAAGACAGTAAAGAAAAGAAAAGAAAAAAAAAAAACAAAACATTACTATCAAGTTTAATCCTCTCTGTATTTTGTCTCCTTCGTAGCCATTCTTTGGGATATCACGCAGCGCCTCCCTCTCTTGAGGGGAGCGTTGCGTGACATCCCAAAGAACGGCTGCCAAGGAGTACTCTGTATTCGATCGAATCAAAAAGTTTCACCAAGAAAATTGCGCTACTTACAATACACAACTTGTGAAATACAATTCTTGTACATGTTCTACTACGAATATGAACAGCTTGTAATCATTAGATTGAATATACTACTGCTGTTATTTCATGGAAATTGCCACGCACACACGCACACACGCGCACACACACAGACACACACACACAAAACATTTACAGACATCATTTATCAACAGTGCGGTTAAAACTTGTATGCTCAAAAACGTGGTTCATTTACCTTGTAATTCCGTCCTTTATGTAGTACAGAAGACACTCGGACATCAAAGGATCCTCATTTAAATTGACTAAATGAGGTCTCTGAAAAGAAAAAAAAAACAGAAAAAGGACTATTACACTTGTCTAACTTAATGAACAAGTATCGATTTTTCTTACCTAGCAACACAAAAGGAAATACAACCACTGACTTCAAAAACTAATAAGTGTGATTTTAAGAAGGTTGAATGAAGATACTATAATTAATCAAAGTAAAAACAGTTTAAAAAGAAGTTCTTCATCAAATTGAAGAAATGGCTTTTGACGGGACTCATTGTTTGCTGACCATGCACAACTTGTTACGGTGAAAAAAAAAAATGGTTACAAAGGTGAACAACTAAATTTTACTCACCCTTCTTGGCTGAAACAGCCCAACTGTATGACCATCGGTGTGGATGGCCACACCCATTTCCGCTAACATTGCCTCTCTGTCGACCAATTGAAACAAAGTTACTCTATTTGCAATTTCTAAACGATAGAGGGGAGAATCTATGAAAAGAAAGATACCTGTCTTTGCTAATACCACCAAGAGAACAAAGTTCTTTTTGCCATCATTGGCCAACTTGGCCCAGTATGGTCGGCCGTCATTTGCCCAGTATGGTCGGCCTTCATTGGCCCAGTATGGTCGGCTGTCATTGGCCCAGTATGGTTGGCCATCAAAAGAACTTGTGATTCCTTTAGCAGACAAAACATGACCTCCCCCCCTCTCCAAACATGACATATCTGGAAGTCTTATAAAAAAATCTAAATTTCAAATACGTGTAGAAACATGTACTTCATATTCCAAATTTTCATACTTACCTTTCCTGCTTAATGGCCTCTGTTTTCCTCAGCTTTTCTTCCCACGTTTCGTTTAGCTCAGCTATCAGTTTCTCAGATGCCTGAAAAAAATGATAAAAAGTAATGAAAAGGAAATTATACCTCTGGTTAATTGATATTTGGTGGAGGCGGAGGTGGAGGAAGGGAAAAAAAAAATCATTCAACAAAATGTAGGTAAATTCAAACATTAGGAGCTTACAAATAGGTAGGTAAACTCAAACATTTAGCAGCTTCATACCTATTTGATGTGTCTTTCTTTCTCTATGTTGTTCCAGTTATCATCTCAGTTTTGTTTATTGTAAGTAATGCAGTGTAAGTGTTTTATCGTAAGAAATGTATTGTTACTAGCCAAGGTTAAACTATGTGTTCTTACATTTTATTACAAAATGTTGTCAGAAAAACAATAAGTAAAAAGAATGATATTTGCACACATAATCAAATAGAGCAAAAGTTACCCTCAGGGTTTCTTTCTTTCTTTACCAACTTTGTTCTTGTCTGGCAACAGCTAAACTGAAAGAATCTAACCTTGAGCCTCTCTAGGGTTCCATCATGGAATTCTTGACTGTATCTCCTTGGTAGGTGTGTAGACCCTTGCTTTAACACAGCTTGATAAGGAAACGTTAAGAAATTAATAAAAAAGATTGTAAGGGTAAATGAATATGATGAGAATGAAATAATAAAAGGTATTGCAGCATAACGTGGCAATCAATTTGAAGCTTCAATATCCCCCCTTCCTGGGCAACCCCTGGGCATTTGCCCCAGGGGCAAAAATTGCATTAAAGTGCCCCCTCAATTTTTTAGTTAAAGGTAGAATCAGCAACCATGACTTTCTACACATTGACCAAGCTTTAAAATCTAGAACTTGTAGACCTTTCCTTCTGGGCCATTTGCTCACAAGAGTGAACCATTTAAATTCAAACACCTTCATATTTAAAGATACAACACTTCTATTATCCCTGGAAAGACTGGACACTCCCAGTACAAATTCCCCACCCCAGCCAAGCAAGGTTCAAATTCCCCCTCCTCTGGGCTTGGACAACCATCGGAAAAAAAAAAAAATACACCAAAGAGCTTAATTTGTGTTCTGGGGAAGATGTGTACAGGGGAAGATGTGTACAGGGGAAGATGTGTACTGGGGAAGATGTGTACTGGGGAAGATGTATACAAAACAAAACATAAGTGCAAGAAACTTAAGATCATAGATATAGAGATTTAATATGAATAAAGTCCAATTCAAATCTGAGAGAACACATTTCTTGTCAATATCAAGCTTACATTGCAGGTCATTAGGATTGTAGCCTTCATTGACAAGTAGCTCCTTTAATTTTGACACTTCTTCCTTTAGTTCGCGAATAATCTATATTGGGTAAAACCATATTCTATCAAATTCTTATAATACTCATAACAGACAAAAGTAGGTACCAATAAGAACTATTTCATTACCAGTAGTAAGTAATGATTTGGGATACAGGCTTAGCTAAGGGCTATCTAAGCTCAGCTCAGTTGTGAGTTGCATTTGTTGCAATACTTTGAGTTGTGTGTGTAGCAAATTCAATTAAATTTTAGATGAAAAGCAACCTCAACACAGGAATTTCAAACTTCCTTAAATAAGAAGTCTAAAAGCATGGCTAGTTTTTGTATTAATCTACCTTGGCATTGGGATCCTCATTTACTATAGCTTTGCATAAAATCTGTTTTGCACGATCAGCATACCTACCCAAAAAATTGCACAACAATTAAAAATGAAAATAAAGCATATGCCATTCAACTTACAAATTTCTGACCACACACTAAATTCTTCGAACCAATATTAAAAATGAAGGGACAACAGTGTGGAGATTTACTGCTGTGATCTTGAGAGTATAAAAAATGCATATTAAGTAGAAGTAAGAACTTTTTCCTTAGAGTTCTAATCAATCATTCCTACCCTTTGAAAAAAAATTATTTCACACCAGCATCAATCAAAATCATTCAGTAACAGACACATCATTTGTTTTGTGCATCTACATGTATGCGGCATACCTCAGGGTACTCAAAGTTTCCTCAAAATTTATGTCTGCTGGGCTAATTGCAGCAATCATAGCTGTCTTCGAGTTTCCACCTGTTTTGAAAAAAACCAAGATTGACTACCATAATTTTACATATTTTTAAAACGTACTAAACAAATGAGCTCAGGGTTACACGTAAAGGATACTCTTTTGCAACTTGAGGTAGCAGAGACTCAAGGGACTCGCATATACTGTAACCCTCTCATCCCAGAATTGACCATTAAAAGTACTTTCTCCCTACAATATCAATTTCCTACCAAGTTGACCTGTCAAAGTAATAAGGAGATCTTGAGAGGGAAAGGGTTAAACAAGAAATTTATACTTGGTCTAATGTTACCAAAATTTTTATTCTGCTGGCTTGAAAAACACATCTATGTATCCCTCTGTTTTCTAAATTAATCATTCTTTGGACATTGTAAGAAAGAGTGATATGCACTCCTACAATACACGCAATAACGACACTATAAAGCTACCCAAAATCAAATACAATTGGGGAAAACGTCATTCGCGGTATCACTGTTTCAAAGACTTTAGTGAGTTAGAGAGAACTGTACGAAACTCAGTAAGTTTGCCAATTTTTAAGAAGTGTCTTTTTTCTGCTTTTTATAATTAAGTTTTTTTTTTTAATTAATTTTTGCAGTGTATATGTTGTAATCATTTTTATATTTCGATTTTAGCTCAAATTTCTATATTTCAATTGTATTTTTATCTAATACACATCTAGTATTTAGGACCTCTATGTAAACCACTATTGTCATGGAGCTTCCCAATAAAAGATTATTATTATTATTATTATTATTATTATTATTATTCTACTGTCTTTGACAAAGAATGTGCATTATAAGCCGCTCAACTGTGTCTTAGTTGCTCTGAAAAAGGGCTAATGTATGAGTTGTGAGCATTACAAACTCTTCATGGTGACCAATTCACATTATCAACGCAGTTGATAAAATCAAATTATATCGTAGCATCCCACCCCACACACACGGTTTTGATAACCATGTCTCACAGCTTGACAAAATAAATATAAAAACTTATTAATCAAGCGCGAGGGCCATACTGGGAGAATAATTATTGGCCCGAGGTCTTGACAGTACGGACCTCGCTGTGCTTGGTCCGTACAAAAAAGACCGAGGGCCGATATTCTTCCACTACAGTCCTGTTGTATTCTGTCTGTAACTACATCTCTTTAATCACATAATAAGATAACTAACAACAAACGAATTCAATCGACGTCCACCGCTCCTTGCTCCACGTGTCATTAACCCCCAGGTCATGTGACCGACACAAAAAGTCCCGAGCAAGCTTGGTTAATACAAGATTTATTATACGACTGAAGTTCAAACGGACACAAGTGCGGTATCATTCGGGATCATTCGGGACCATTCGGGACAGTGCTCGGTTCAATCCTTTGAGAATATTGGACCGGCAATAGAGCATTCTGATTGGTTGATTTTAGTTATTGGCCCTCTCACTGCCCGAGTCATGTAATAATTTTAAATACACAGTAAACACAATTAAAACAATAATTCAGAGTGTACCTAGATTTTCTCTCAACAGCCATGTCAAAACAGAATCTCTGAATGGAATGAAATCTGATTTCCTTTTCTTCTTCTGAGATGACTGAAAATTTTGAGGAAACAGTTTATTGATCAAGTAGAATCACATAATTACATAAAATCTTGCATTCTGATTGGTTAACAAAGTGAGGTATGAAGCATGGAATTGGGAGTTAAAACGGGGGTTAGTGATATTGTTTTGCATCTCTTGTTTCATACGATATCAGTTTTTGCATGCAATTTAAGGTGGAATTCCCTGGCCAGGAAATGAATTTTCCCATGAAAGCAGTGGTGACTTAATATTCAATTCAGGGGCCCATTTCTTCATGGTTCTGGTAACTATACGAAGCCTTTACACTGTTCTGTTTTGATTCAAGATGGGGTTTTAAAAAGTTTTGAAAATTATACAATATATTTATCAACTAATGAAACAAAATGGCCTTGTTAGGGTGCCACAACCTGCTCCTCTATTCTTTACATTTTGATTTTAAGATTATAGTTTCAGGCCCATTAAGTTACCTGGATTTTAGAGAAACAGGCCGCTGGTTTTTTAACAGACAAGGAGGTCACCACTAACAATGTTACATTTGATTTTAAAGATTCAAATCTTTACAAGAAAAAAAAACAGATGGTATCATAATTCCCCTTTCAAAAATTGAACACCATTATCAATAAATCACCTGTTCTGCGAGAGCAGATATCACCTTTCCAAGAGTCGTCAATGATTTGTTGATGTTTGCACCTTCCTGAAATATTCAAATAGGCAGAACTTCATTTCAAAATATGTTTTGAGTAAAATGAGATTACTGTGGAGTCATGATTATTGTTTCTTACCCAATGATCTTTGTTTTAGAAACACCAAGAGCATTACTTTGTAAATGAAACAATTAATCACTATAAGTACCACTACATGTAAGAGAAAAAATCTAGAAGGAGTAACTCCATAGCCTTCTGAAACATCCTTCGGAACTTAATGAAGGCATTTTTGTAACCAAGTTTTTCTTCAGGAAAACAGTAGCCATTTTTAGCTTCTCACTGACAATACTTGGTGTCTAAAATAGTATTAATTTATAACTTTGGTATTACCAGCACACATTCACACACCTTAAGTCTCTCCCCTTTGGCTCCTGTTGCATCTGCTCTCTCACTCCCAGCAAGATCTACCAAACTCAGTTTGCTAACCTTCAATTAAAAAAAACAAAATACTAAGCTTAATCATCATGGTTAGAAATAGAGGAAACTCTCACTGGTCAAAAAGGTGAGTGTCCATACAAGTATGATACCTGCATTATGACTATTTAGTACACGACTCGGGCAGTCAGAGGGCCAATAACTAAAATCAACCAATCAAAATGCTCTATTGCCAGTCAATATTCTCTCAGTATTGGACCAGGCACCGTCCCGAATGTCCCAAATGATACCGCACTTGTGTCCCTTTGAACTTCAGTCGTATAATAAATCTCTTATTAACCAAGCTTGCTCGGGACCGTACTGGAAGAATATCTGCCCTCGGTCTTTTTTGTACGGACCGAGCTGTGCTCGGTCCACACTGTCAAGACCTCAGGCTGACATTCTCCCAGTACGGCCCTCGCGCTTGGTTAGTAAGATATATTTAGTGTATTTAGTGACAGCAGAAATATCACAAACCTTTGCTGATGATAGGTCCGTTAAGGAGTCATGTCTCCTCTGTGTAAACACAATACTAAAGATTGCATGGGATCTACTGCTGGTTTCATTCATGTTTGTTGCTGCTACTGTCCTGTAAACATTGAAGAAAGCCATGAAAAAATCTTCTTCACACTACACAAATATTGTTAATATACATGTACCTTTAAGCTGCCTCACAAAATTAAAATACTTGGTGAACAATTCCTTAGCACTACCTGCAATAATGTCAAAATCCATACATGACCTATATCAAGATCTTAAATTCAAAAACACACTGTCTTAAATTTGAAAATTTTTCTTGTTGACTACAGTCTAACAAATGACTGTTTTATTCATATGACCTTCTTTAAAAAACCAAGAGAAACCAAATTTACTCACCTAGCTTTGTTGCCTTCATCAATAAGGTCATTTATATCCTCAAATGAAGTGACAGCAAGTTTAGTCAAGTCTTCTACATATGGCCCCAACATTGGATGTTCCCTGAGGAAATAATCATTCCAGTAAAATGATATTCATGGGGAAAAAAGATCTTTAACTAATAGGTAGCCAAAGGCACTTTCTGTCATGGGTCCTCAATTGATCCAGCCAGAAATCACCAACTGACAATAATTTAAAGACAATTATATGAGTCAGTGTAGTCGAATTATGGCCAGGACCAATTAGAGTCAAACTACAATTTGCAACAAATAATAATAATAATAATAATAATAATAATAATTATTATTATTATTATTATTATTATTATTATTTCTATAGTGCAAAATCCATTAGATATATGATCTAATGCACTTTACAAGTTAAAAAAGAAAACTAACTATGAAAATATTATTTTAAATCAATGATATCATCATTACAAGTCATTTGATATAGTACTTAATAACACTTTATATAGTAGATAAAATTGACAAACGCAGCTAACTAACAATGTAATATAATAATAAATCGTCGGATAGATAAAAACTCTAAATGCTTTCCTTGGCAAGCAATATTTTGGTGAAGCACTAGTCCAAAAAACTTTTAAGAAAAGAATTTTCATAACAAGTGTTGGCTTGAAGGTCATCTGTATTAAGTTCAAACGTCAAATTTTGTTTAAATTGTCAAATTTTTCTTTAAGAATTAAGTCTTCTTAAACAAAATAAACACACCAAGTTTGAGGTAATTTGGGGAACTTGTCAGCCTCACCTCACTCTTAAGTTGTTCTTAGCTTTTGGACTTAGCAAATCCCTCACTCTTTCACAGTAAATCTCAAGATAGCTGACCTAATGAAAGATTAAGAAATGCACTGTAAAAAAGAATGTTACTTAATATTCAATTGATTAATATGTATCAAATACCAAAACAGAGACTGTAGAGGGCCATTGGCTGAAATAATAAAGTTTAAAACAAAAACTGTTCATATCAAAAATGAACATTGCGGCCAAGTGACTGATGGACCACACAAGTGGTCTTTGCACATGCAAGTGAGGTTGATGGAAAATTTCATTTTAGTAAAAAAAGTAAAGTCTGTTTACAAGCCAAGTGGCCCATCAGGGTGGGGCTTAACTCCAGTTTCCATAGCATTAAGAAACTAGGGGTATTTCTACTCCCCCCTAGAAGGGATGCTAGTCCATTGCAGGGTTACCCCCAGCATTACATTCACTGGCATTTTTAACTCTTAGGTTATTTCGGGCAGCCAGCACCCCTATCATTGTCTGTACTATTATTATAAATTTTTCTTTCTTGTATATTTTGGGGTGAAAAAAATAAAGTTGTTGTTGTTGTTGTTGTTGTTGTAAACACCTGGTTGAAGAGGAGCATGCACTGTGAGAGTAAATTGTCTTTCCCAAGAACACAACACAATGTCCCAGGGTTGAGCCCAGACCACTCCCTCCTAAGTTGAATGCACTAACTGTGAGGCCACTGTGCCTTGCCCAAAATCTCATTCAGTCATGTGTTTTTTCCTTTTTGCTTTTAGAAGTCCTATACCTCAGCAGATAAAATCAACTCATCACTGCTCTCACTGTCAATCTTTTGAAACAGCTCTTCACAAAGCTACATGGAAATAAAGGAGAATGTCAAGGGCAACATCTTAATCACTTTTATATCTGAGAATGAAACTTTAAACTCCGTAAGTTATCAATAAGTAACTAATAGTTTCTCTACACAATTTCAGTTATAATAAAATAAAAGATAAATAAAGAAATGGGATTTAGCAGTGGATGTTCCATAAGGTGGCTCTTCTCGTCCACTGTTTCCAGGTCAAATTGGAATTTAGAATCTTGGTTCTTGCTTACATCCTCCACTTCAACACATTCTTTGCTCAACAAAAAAGTGATCAGAGCAGACAAACTTATTAACAAATAGATTCCACCTTCACATTTACATAAGTCCAAATACCCCTGATAAACACTTAGATACTTTAGATAAGATAAGATAATTTATTTAATGTCAAAAAATACACAGGTGGTTTCCCAATCCCCCAAGCCAGAGGCTCATGATAAAAGTGTTTGACAATATAAAAGAAAGCTAAAATTGTAATAGCACTGATTAAATTAGAAATAATGTATATATCTATTTAAAAAAAAAACCAATTAAAGGCAACCACTGCATTCCCACGTTCTTAATAGAGATTCTCCCTTCTGTTTGCTGTACATTTCTTACAACAATAGTTCTGAGAATTTTGTGTTGAATCAAATGGTATCCCCTTGCTGACATTTTTCTTTACTCTCAATACTCTTGTATGTGATATAATAATTATAATGAAAGAGAAATCACATATTAATTGCTTTTGAGAATGAAAGGGTTATTACTAACTAAAGGAGGTTAACTTATATGAGATGTTTAGCAGCTGAAAGTTAGAATCAGTTTCAATATAAATACTAACAGTTAAATTTGATCTTTGCCATCAGCTTGAAATTGAGGAGAGTCATTAATAAGATCTCGTTTGATGAAATATGTGAGCTTCTCCTGAAGTACGTAACATTTTCAAAAAACAAATTAAAGAAATTTTACTTTTTTTTCCCAGATTTAACTGCAAGATGAGCACTCCATTTCTTTCTTAGTTTAGAATCAATCAGTTCTTTTCTATGAATTTAATTCCTTCACGACTAGGTCTTCCTGAGGTAGCTCTTTAATATCTCACCTGTGGTATGATTCCTTTCTGGTCAGCCTCCTGTTTGCCCATCATTGTATAAGACTTTCCGGAGCCTGTCTGGCCATATGCTAATATGCAAATGTTGTATCTGAACAGAAAAATAACAATTTAAATTTTTTTGCATAACTGGAAATGCAACATCATTCATATCAAGTGACTGACTGAATATATGGAAATCATCTTGTGAACTGCAGGCTAAGAATTGAATATCAAAGCGATCTATGCAGTTACAAATTATTATTTTTCACTTCTCCTCATTCAAGTAGTATTCACCACTGCAAAGATTGCTTTGATATTCATCATTCATATTAATAATTCTCATGAGATGTCAATCTGACTTGAAAATTAACAATTGAATGACTGATAGAGTAATGAAAGTTGCAGTAATTTTTAATTCCAGATAACAACATTTCTTCTATCCAGGATGATGTGTAGTTCTTTGCTTTTATCTCATGGCTCACCCTAATTATGAATAATTTGAGTCAAGAAAGATATTAGGAAATTAAAAATCAAACTAGGTAGACAACCTTTCAACCTAATATAAAATGAAACTGTGGCATGAGCTATCAAATGTGTTAATACAGGATTTCGTATGAGTAAATAACTGTTTAAATAATTAGATAAAAGGAATTAATTAAAACCTTTTCACTCTCAAGATCCAATTTAATTTATTTTATTAGCAATTCTCCTTACTGTCAGCTACACAATTCTTATGATGTTAGTTTGGAGAATCTGAATCTTCCAATCGATAATTTTCTTTATTCTCATCACTGAATTGTCTGCTTGATAATGTACTGTTGTTGGTAAGAGAAATTCTGTCTTGGTCACTTATTAACAGCTTCTTAATAAGAGCTTATTGAGCTTCTTTCTCCTCTCTTTTCCAATCATTGGTTAGTTCACTGTTGACATTTCTAGAGAATTAAATTATAAACATCTTGACTCATGTACACTTAAAAGCATGCCTTAATTTACCCCTCAAATGCATGTGCCAACATTTCTTTGCCAATGTCTGCATACACTTGCTTCTGTGATGCAAAATGGGAATCATTCTATGAGAAAAATAGGAAAGAAATGAAAAACATTATGACAAGCATTGAGAGTTAATCAGTTAACTCTGAGACAAGATAATTCGGTTTTCTCAACTGAGTTCATACGCTGACGTTCAAGTGCCAGCTTAGAAACTCTTTATGTTAGCCAGTTTACATTTAATTATCAGTTTATAACTTGAACCAAACTATCTTGTTATGCACCCCCGCCAATGCAGGACCTGGGTTTCTTTAGAAACTTACCCTCTTAACTGTGAGACAATTATCCCATTGGAACTTTTACTGCAATACAGTACAATACTTTATGAAGACATGTAACATCTAAGAGATGTACAAGCTCCTTCAAAATGTGTGTGCATATTTACTTTTCCTTGAAATTTTCAGTGAGAGTTAAAAAATCTTAAACTTAAAAAAAAATTAGAATTAGAATTTGATACATAACTTATTCACTATTGACTAAACATTGGCACTAAAGAATTAAATTGTGATAAAATAATGGTGGAATAAAGTGAGCAATTCAAAGTTTAATGTTCTAAGTTTACTCTTAAAGTGGGCAACATTCATAGTTTACCTGTTAATTAAATTATGGTTTTACAAGTTACATTCAGCTGAATTTACAATAAGCCAGTACAGTGAATGAATTAATTGTTGGTGACCTTCACAACTCTACTTTGCACATAAAGTCACCAATGATTTGAATCCCAACCCTTAATCATGAATTCTGCTAAATGTCTTTTGAGCAGTTAAACAGTTACAAGATTAAAATAGAGCAAAGTAATTGGACACCCAAACGGGAAGATTTAGGTACCAGACAGATTTATTATCAAACCTTACTTCATCATGAGACCAATATGAGTAATCAAAGTTAAAACTCTTAGGCTTTTCACTCAGGTTTCGAGGATTTAGGATGGCTGAAAGAAAAAAAAGGGAAGTTATAATGTCACCTTCCGCATCACATAGCTTTCACGGCAATATTGTGGTGAGGGATTGGGGGCGGGAGCCCAGAAAAATGGGGTAGGAGAGGTCTGAAAGCAAAATATAAATTATCTTAGTACGGGAGGTGAGAGCAAAAATTAAATAGGCACTGGTTTGTTGTTTATCACTGCTCATTCAATCAAAATATGGGAGTAATACAGTAAAGGGTGGGCATCAGGAAGCAGAGGGGCACAAAATTATGGGAGGCTGGAGAATGTGTTATGGGAAGTGGGAGGTGGTAACTCTCCTGTTCCCCTCCACAATAAATTATCATCACAAACAATCACTACCCCATGGACTTAGTCAACAGAGTTTGGCCCATGAAATAGATACACCTTATTCGATGGTAACACATTTTAATTTATAATATGTGCAGATATTATGCCTGGATATTATGCATGTTACACAGTATTTTTCTGAACCCCAGATGGACATGGAAAAATAGTAACAATCAGCAAAATGTCCACTCATATCATATATCAAACTATCCACTAAAAATTCAAGTGGGTCAGGACATCACTTAAAAGGAAACATCACTAGATTTCAGATTTCCAAAGGTTAGCATCTCTTTTGGTCAGGAACAATACTTGACAGTGAACCCCTATCCTGTGCACTAAGAGGCACCGTGTCCTCCTTTGTGCTTTTTTCTGACCAAAATAATATTAAACAATTTTATTCTTAAAAAGCTTGGGCCAGCTATTTACATGATGTCTAACCCAAACTGCAGTTTTATGGAATCAGTGGACCTCAAACTTTCTCTATAAGAGAGTCATTCTCATTTAAATAAATGCCCCTCTACTGGTTGGTAGCTTTCAGTCCTCTTGACAGTGTTCACAAAAATAAATGTTCAGATAAAAGATTCAGCTAAATTTGAGATAGTTTAAAATATGGTTTTGTTGAAATAAGGCTAAACTTTGTTTAAATAACTGGCCCATAGAATTTATTTTCTGAACCTTATAACTCCTGGGCAGGACTGCATGACTGTCCAAAAAGCAGTTTGTCTTTATCTCAGATTAAAAGTTTCACTTGGTTTTGATTTCTCTTCTAAGAAAGCATAATTTATACACTGTATTATGTCTACGTTTTACATAGTTTTATCTTAATGCCAGCTAATCTGCACCTGGTAAAATATAAATGTGAACACTCTTTACAAGGATAAAAAAGACTAAATATTAATTAACAAATTCATTCGAACCTTGAGTTAAAATGAAGCTCCATTGTGTTTATAGCATCTCCCTAATATTATGTTTTCTACCGGAAAAAAAATAGATTTGGGGGGAAATTTTTGTGGCCATTTGATTTTAAACCATGCATTTATCAACAGTATTGATCACTGCATCAGTCAAAGGCTTACTAAGTAAACCTGATATCATAAAATTAATACAAGATAGAAGTATGACTAAGTAAAATGTTAACCTGAAACATTGTTCAGTCAGTATTGCGATCTGACGCAACTCAAGCTATCAAAAGTACTAATTTGAAATATTTCTCTGTAATAACACCTTTGACAGGCAAAAGACTTTTTACTGAAATTCTTTGCTTAGCTGAACCATTCATTTGTCAAGAAAATGATTCCTTTAAAATATCTGTATACCTACAGCTGTTTTTGAGTAAGTATGATTAAATGCAAATCTCAGCAAATAATTCTAGTATCATCTTACATGAATCAAACCACATTCTAAACCATGCATTATTAACAGATCACCATCTTAAGAAAATTAAGTGTACGAATTTTTTACATTTAACGCTGAGTTTTGAAATTTCATCTCTTACAATATCATATTACATCCTTGTTAATATCAGAAAGTAAACAGCACTAAAATAAATTTGAATAAATCTAGCTATAGGAACTTTCAATTTCTTTTATGTGGGATGAGGAATTGACTTTTAAGAAGGCTAATGTTTAACCATCAAAACCAAAAAATTAGCATATTGCATTTTCTTTAAATTTGCAAAGAAAATCCTTCAGAGATACCGGATCAAAAATTTCCCTCTCGAGTCTTGTCGTGACTATATGATACCAAATGTGTCGAAACAATTTTTTGTTCTGAAGATCTCAAGGCCTTCAGACTGTGCATTAGCTTAACATAGTTTAAGGAAAAATAATACGAAATTTAACAGTCGACACGCACAGTGTCAACTAAATTCCATATTTACCAACTGGCATTTTGAAAAGATTGGGAAATTATACTCCAATAAAAATATATAAGGAAAAAAAATAATATTTCATTTCAGCTGTTAAATCGCTAATCAAAATATTGAATGACTGAAAAACTTTCAGCCGAATTAACATATCATTACAAGTGCAGACAACAACTCACTTGTGGTAGCTCCGTGCATCCCAATTATACATTTGCAGCTTCGATTGTTTTCTCGGCTCGCAAACGGACGAACTCGAACAGCTACTTTCACAGACGACATTTTCCTAAGCAGCTTGAAAACCGAACACCATTCTGAATATCTTGGAGAAAAGTCTGGGTAACTCTTGACTCCATTGCATTACACCATTGTCCTTTGGCCGGCCGAAGCCGTCATTGTTGCAAAATAAAAGACGCGTAGTTCTCCCCCACAAATCAGCTGTAAAGCATTCCCATATTCAAATAGCAAAACAGAATGGCGAAAGCAATAATTCCACGAACTGTTTCCGACGCAAAAGGACGAATTCCAAGGAAATTCAAGCACTCGCCTACAGGTCACGAAATATTTTCAATCACGAGTTTAGCGATGGGGTAAGCCCGCTGACCAGAAGATGCGCTCATGCTAGTTCTACTATATGAGGGAGGGAGGGAGGGAGAAGGGAAGGAGGCGAGATGGGGAGGGGGGAGAGGAAAAAAGATCGTTTCTTGCTTATGGCAGATGAGAAAGGACTACTTCAGATGCAAGTGTCTTAAAAACAGTAACAGTTATAGATTTTGAAAAATAAAGGCAAAAGCTAATCAACTAGAGGCTATAGAAGCGTCTGATGCAAATCTAGTCTCTCCGATGAACTAAAGACGACTCCAAAATGAAGTCTAGTTTGTAAGGTTTGCCTTTAGCTTCTCCTGGAGCATGGACCATCGACGTTCTCCCCCCTGAGGACCTCGTCCTGTACTGGTCTAGCCTTTCGAGTGTGGTCCAGCTGTAGCCCCAGTTCTTCATCTCGACGGCAGGTGTTTTTTCAGGCGTCCTCTTTTCCGTTTGCCCTGGAGTTTCTATTTCCCGGATTGCTCGGTGACACTGTCCAGAAGTTTTCCTAGGGTGTGGCCGATCGATCTCCACCTCCTCCGACTGCTTTGTGTTTGAATGAGTTCTTCACCTGATCTTTCCCGTACATCATCGATTGTTACTCTGTCTGTCCTGCTATTTTTAGAATCCTTCTAAAATAATGAATGACGTTTAACGGTTTCGAAAGACGAAAAATGAAATATAATGATGCAGAATCACGGTGTCTCCTAAGGGGAAGAATGCCTAAACACAGTGAATAATGCTTAGAATGTGATGGCTAGTGACAATAAATGATATCTAGTTCACTTTTTTTTAATCGGCAATTGAATACTGGGCAGCGATTACCATTTACATAGTGTGCAAGATATCCTTCTGTCTGGTGTTGTATATCACGTGACATATTGACGTAATGATGATCGTAAGAAAAAGGCTATATTATGTTCAGTATCGCACCAATTTGAAAAAAAATGAGAATATTGTCCCATCCCTGTCAACCGGAAGTGAACGAAGCCAAGTCTTCAAATTCTTCGCTTGCTGAATTTGGCGGAAATTTATCAAAAAAAAACCTTGCGTGCCGTTCCGGAGCTCTTCAACGGAGACTTCAACAGGGGTCAATTTAACAATACCCACATAATTCTAGTGACATACGAGCACGAATAACTCGAGCTCTTATTACGATTGTTGACAAGAAGAGAGCTTGGCTCTAGAAGATCAATTCTTTCTTTTTCCGTGTTTTGTTTATTTTTTTGGACGTACGTTTACTTTAAGAAAAAGAATTTGTTGCCGATTAAGCGAAAATAACGAGCGGTCATTGCATAATCCTCTTTTTCAATTAGCTTGTGCTCAGTTGGTATCTTGCCAAGGTAGAGTAGGGCTAGGGTTGTTTAGCTCAATCTTAACGTAAGCGTGTGCTGAAATTGTAGTCTTCCGTACTCCAAAAGGCGGAGAAGGAAAATTGACAGATTGATTCTTCTTTTTCCCATTTCTTTCCGCAGGAATCGAATTAGATTGTGTCCGTTTGAGATAACAAAACTGGTCTGTGTATTAATTTTGCGGATGTTTTGCTCCTACCCTTCCCCACCTCCGTGGACTTTAAGACAAGAATATCAATCCTGCCTTGTCTCAACAAAATTGGATCGAAAGACAATCAGAATGCTGTTTAATTTTCCAAAGAGTTTCCATACTAATTGAGTTATCTCATTGTTCAGGTCAATTTCCACTACATGCGGAAATGCTAGAAACCTCAAATAACAACCAATCAAAGCTCTCGTTTTATCTCATATAAGACCCTCCATGATTGGCCAGTTTTCTGTTACAACCCGAAGATGCAGCAATGGCGGATGACGGGAGTACAACTTGGGACTGTTTGTGGTATCTTCAAGAACGTTTGAAACAAGAGAGACTGTTTGTCAACAAAGAGAAAGCTGAAATATCAAACCTTAACATAGATATACAGTCAACTTGTGAAAGACTCTACCATTTGTCTTGGATAACTCGGCAACAATGGAAGGTGGTTCAGCGAGTGAGGGCTTCACCTGAAGAATGTAGCCAGGTCGTAAAGAGGCTGGATTCTGCCCGCTTTGTGGACGCTTCAAGACATCTTGGCTACTTAGAGTCAAAATACTGGGAATTTTTTAAGGGACTGAGAGAGAATCCCTCGCTTGTCGCGTCCAATTTGGCTTATGCGGACAAAATTAATTTAGATACCTCTCAGCTGGTTCGTTTGTTGTTGAACTCTCTGTATGGGAATTGCCTTCTTCCGCGAGATGAAAATTATGTGTTGATGCTAATGAAACACCTGATCGATTTGAAAATCACAGGAGATGACAACCCTGAAAAATTTCTTCAGCATCGACGGAATTCATTTACTTCGCTGTTTGGGATTTTAATCGAGAGCTTGTTCTCCGCAAAGTTGTATCTGACAGCGGCTCTACATGCACCCATTATGCAAGTACTCTCGGAAGATTCACTTTTACAGAAGCGCTTACCCCTCAAGTGCACTAAATTTGTGGAAAACCTTAAAGCGAAACTCTATTGTTTTCCTCAAAGCTTGCGATGGTTAATGTGTCAGTTTGCAAATATTCTTTCTTCCCATGGTATGAAGGACAAGGAAGTGAGGTCGATGGTATTAAATCTGTTATTTGATTGCCTTGTTTGTCCGGCTATAATTCGACCTGAGCAGTTTGGCATCACGTCTGATGTTCAAATCAGTGAAATAGCCTCACAGAACTTGCAAAGCATAGCTTCCTGTTTGCAGAGCTTGCACTCTCATTTATATTCCTCAGAAGGTGAGGATGTAAGAAATTTGGACATGTTTTCAAGGATAGATCCAGTAAGTATGTTTTGTGTAGACTATTGTATCAGGAGGGATGTCCTTTACACTCAGACAACTGGGGCTAATCACGTAAAACAAGATTAATTATATTTTTTAAGTAGCGCACTTCTCTTCCTGTCCACTTGAAATTAGGATACATGCCTAATTGCACAACAGGGTTATATATTATATGTCATTGCAGAACAACCAATGAGAGGGGAATGGCCATTTCTTCCACATGACATTTGAGAACTGGCTTACCCATTTATCCGTCATATCTTTGATAACCATTCTTGTTGCAGATTTCCAGTATTTACATGAGTTAAAGCAGCTTCACTCTCAACAATAGTCATGAACAATTTTCTGTTTTGGATATATAAAGTTCCAACTTGCATTCATTGTTTTTGCTGTGTTTTAAATGACATTTGTTTCTTTTCAGGTTTGTGTGACTTCATTTTTAGATGCCATATTGGAGAACCAAAAGGACACTCAAGATTTTCCAAACCACAAGTCCCTTCCTGGCCTTTGTCGTAATTCAGTTCTCATAACAGAAAATGAGCTGCATGCATTGGTGAGTTTCATGCAAGTGATATCAGATCTAAAAGGAGACAGTTAGCTTGGTTTGTTTTTGAAGGGGATGAGAATGCCTTGATATCATATTGTTCGTGCACTTTTTACTTTTAAAACCTCTTTTTTAACTAGAGAGTTGGTAGTCTGGTGGTTCTGGTTTTGGTTACATAACTTTAGTGTTCTGATCTTCAGCAAGACACTTGACTGTTGGTCACAGTTCCTATTTTCACCCTTTTCATTTCCTTTATACCCTAAAATTGATATGCATCAATGTATTCTATCATTCAAACATTTCAAATGGTACCAACAGGGACAATTTTTAGATAAACATTTCTTTGATCAGTGATCATGAGATCCTTATAGAAGAAGCTGCATTACCTCTAGTTGCTTCATATCACAGAAAACAGGAGAAGCTTTGACGTTAGTATGAAGCCAGGAAGCTTTAATGAATTACACTTTTTCTCATTATATAGCTGTTTTTGTACTGCATTGAAGTAAACTGCCTTTCAAAAAAGTTCTTGTGTATATAACTTTCTTTTGTCCCTTCTCTTAGACAAGCTTTCTTAGAATGGTTCAACACAGTGAAGACTACAGAGATGATGTTAACCGCAAGAAGCTGGAAGAGTTACTCCATCCTCTGCCACCCCAACCAGAGATTAGTCCTGTGGGGCCCATTGCAGATTCACTAACACATCCAATTTCAGAGTCTTTAACAGAGAGTCCAAAGACGCCAAAAAAGAAACGGGCTTTCAAAGTAAAAAAAGAAGAGAAACCCCAGAAGCAAAGCCTGGGAGAAACTCAAGCAGCTGAGTTTGAAGGAAAGATAATAAAGCAGCATAACCCTTTATGTGTTGAAAGCAAATCAGAAGGGTTCAAGAGGGAGTTTCTTCAGCGGATGCCACTAATGTTGAAGGAAGATGAAGAGGTGTTAGTGATCTCACTTGGCTATTCTGGTATTGAATGTCCTGGCTTGCAGTCTGAGGAAAAAGTGGGTATCAAGTAACTTTTTTTTGTCTCCATTGTAACTTAATGTATGCATTCAGCTGGTATGTGTACATCTCCCATCAAGGCTATTTATACAAGAATTGTTAATAAAATGTTGAATCAAGAAATATCAAAATTTGCTCACAAGTCCTAAAAGAAATTGTTTAACAATAGTTGCTCAAATTTTGTTTGAGCATTTAGTAACCAGATGTAGTGTAAATTAGTACAACAGACATAATTTATGTGACCGGGCACAGGATTTCGTACACTAATGCTTTTCCGTTAAACGGGTAAAAATAAACGGTTTGTAAACAGATAGTAAACAGGTAGTAAGAGCATTTAACGGTTTGCATGTCCGTTTAAACGAATAGTCCAAAGTGTTAAACGGTAGAGCAAAGTCCAAAAACGGATTCCATAAACCGTTAAATGGCCGAGAAAAAAAATAAACGGATGGCTTAAAATGTTAAACGGTTGAACAGCATCTATAATTATGTTATGGATAGCTCAAAACGTTAAACGGATGGACAAAAACCTTGAACGGATGAGGAGGGCTAAAGAACAGCGGGAAGCCATGCACATATCAATCAGAAACCGTTGCGAACAATTATACGAATTGTTCATGCGGAACACTGACGTTTCATGCTAATAATATTCGACTGACAACAATAGAAAACTAAATAAAATTAAATTACTAGCCTGCAATTAAGCTATCCACTGGTGAGTGAAGCGAGCGGAGAGCGAGTCTCACCCTGGAGAGCTCGCAATGCATTTGAAAATTTGTATAAGCAGAGGAAGCAATCTGTCAATCATACCATGTGGACTGAACATTCTCGACTGAAAGAAAATAGAATTGAGAAGCAAAGTCGTTTTTTTTTTCATGTTCCTACATTGTTTCTTCTACGTATTGACTGAAATGAAAACGCACTATCAAGTGAAAAACATTAAGAAATGCTGCTGATTTTGTAGATTTCACCCTTGGTTAATCAAAACAATTTTGCATACGCATGTAACAAAACTCAACTTTCTTTCACTCGTGTTTCATCTAGCATTCGATTTCGTAAAGTAATGTGTAATTACAGCTTTTATAGAGCAATTTCCGTTTCCTTTCAATCCATGGAAATAAAAGATGAGAAACTCGATAGCCACGGATTTTGTAAATTTTGCCGTACACGTCAATCAAAATAAATTTGCATAATCATGAAAACAAATCTCGCTCTCCTTACACGGATGCATGTAACTGTTAAACGGATGTATTTTATTTTAAATGGATAGGTGAACCATTTAAACGTTTTGTCGAAAACGTTAAAAGGATAAGCAAAGCATTTAAACGGATGAAGAAAACGTTTAAACGCTTTAATGATCCGTTTTAAACAGATGGTGAACAGATAGTAAACCGATTGATTCGTTAAACGGTAAAGCGTTAGTGTATGAAATCCTGTGCCCGGTCACATATTTTCTATAGAACAAGGCTCTTGATCCTCAGCTATGTTTCTCAAAGCAGGAGTATCAACTAACAGGTGTCCAATTTTTCAAGGTTCTTGGCATTAAAAAGCCATCCAAGAATGAAGCAGAAACAAGTAAAAACTTCAGACCAAGGAGCAGTTCTTCTCAGTTTTCCAAGCATATTTTTTCAGACAAATCTGTCACAAAGAAAGGGAAACAAGGCTGTTACAAAGATGAAAGTGATGACAAGGAAATACTAACCACACATCATAGTGAGTGTAACAATATGTACTTATTGACTGATTGGAAGGGCAGAATGGGAAAATAGTGGGCTCAAGGTAATCGCATGAGAGCCAAATATTTTCCCATTCAGCTCAACCAAACCCAGTCAATAAGTATCTTATCATACGACCACTAAGTGTTGAAAATTTAATTGTAATTAGGACAGGACGGATGGGCACACACAGCCACACAAGCACAAAAAAGTTCCGCATTTAAAACTTGTCTTTTAACGTTTTCAAGTCAGAACAGGAAACTCCCAACTTTTTTCTCATTTCTGTTTGCCTTTAGTTTTTGTAACGAAGTGATATAATGGCAGCAGGGCTGGACAGCTTTTTCAGTACTTGCTCACATCAACCTGTCCAGCCTTGCACACGTCAGCTTAGTATGAAGCAAGTAATTACACTTTCAAACACTATGTTCATGGCATATGTTTTTCAGATGACAGAGAGCTTTCAGCGGCACCTCAGCAAATCATTGCTGGTTCTCTTAACCAAGAGAGCAGTGCTGATTTGCCCAAATCTGACACAAGTGAGAAAACAGGGACAGATCCTGTTGATTTGCTTCTCAGCAATTCTGATTCCACAACACATAGGACACCAGATGTTCTGGAAGGAGATGCATCAAAAATGCAAGACTCTGCCAGTGTTGATTTGATTGATTTTGAAAGTGAGAGTCCACAGCCTTTATCCCCAGTTTCACCAGGAAATTTCACTGAAAACACTCCAGTAGAGAAACAGTTCCCTCTTGCATTAGAAAATCATGCTGCAGGTAACAGAGATAGTGCCATCAGCAGTAGTAGTAGCACACGCATTAGTTCCATCAGTACCACAAGTACACGTAGTAGTGGAGTGGAGTTCACCAAAGAGTGCATTTTTGTAGATAGTGGCCATGGTGACATTTTAGAGGAGAATTCTAACGTGAATTTGTCTGGTATGGAACCCCAAGATGCACCTCCTGATGGGTTCCGAAAACGCAGTGTTGTCCTTAGTGACCATGAGAAAAGAGACAGCAGGATCAGCAATCGTGAAAGTACAAGTAGTAGCACATTGACTGGCTTCTATGGAGAAGGATCCAACCGAGACAGCCAAGCAAGTTTCTTGAGCTTTGATTCAGAGTTTCCACCTCGAAGCGGGTCGTCAAGCACAGCTGATGATGAACGCGAGGTACCTGTCCCCAGGGAGAAGAAAGGCTCCCGAGCAGCCTCTTTGAAGCGACATTTTAGGAGCAGGAAAAAGACCAAAGGGAAAGGCCCCTTTGATGGGCCACTCAATGTGGAGAGTGATGAGCAGAGTGTGAAGAAAAAGGAAGGGTTCTTTGGAAAGATAAGAACTGTTCGTGAGAACAGAAAGACTAAGATGAGTGGGGAGAAAGCATTTGTGAAACTGGCTGAGAAAACACTGGACCCTTTTAATATCACCAAAAGAATGGCACACCCAGAAATGGAAGAGAAAACACCTAAAGGTAACTACTGGCATGATTCCTGTATAGTTTGCCTTGATTGATCACCATAATTATACACACTGTACACCATTATAACATACCTAGCTATTTCCGTGTCACATAAGACAAGTGTACCTTGAATTTTGTTAAGTTCGTCATATTGGTTCAGGATAATCTTCTACATCAAAGTCATATATTTCAACTGCAATTAAAGAAACGCATATGCAAACGATCTTCGCAGTAAGGAGCACTACTTTTAATAAGCAGTAGTGAAAATAAGCCTGAAAAAAAAAGATTCATAAAAAAAAATTAATTTTTTTTCAGGTCTTATTTTCACTTCTGCTTACGTAGTGCTCCTTACTGCGAAGTTCGTTCTCATATGTGAATCCTACATCTTTAACTATCTTTAATCCCCTTTTGTGTTTTTTCTTTTTACTCCTTTGACAATTGTGAATTAATGCAAAGTTTTACTCGTAGGTTCCTTCAAATAGAATGCACTATTCAACAAGATATTATCATGTAGCTCCTTTAACAAGTCAAACGCTAGTGGTTTTGTTCAACTTATTTGCTTTGCTTTTTTTTTAACGTATTCTCCATGAGAAATGCATTTTGTTTTGAAGGGGCAAGCATTTTAGGGAAAAATTAAGACACCCGTGAGAAGGTTTTGGTGCAAATTTACTTTTGTGGTCCTTATCAATCACAGAAGGATCTCTATTTTGTTCATGTCCAGATTCCAGTTTTACTAATTTTCGTAAGTTTTTTTTCTTGACAGACATTGAGAACGTAATAAAAAAATACACAGATATTGCACGTTCTACTGCAGAAGAAGGAAAGTTGAATGTTGCAGATGGTGATGATGATGATGATGATGATGAAAGTGATGAGGAGGACGATGATATTGTTGATGAGGAGGAAAAATTTGAAAACTCCAAGAAAAAACTAAGACTGGTGCTTTGCCAAGCTGACTTTCAAAATCTTCCCATGGTTCATTCAGAAAACAAGATGCCAGAAAAAAGGTCAGTTTTGAATTCATTTAACCCTAGGCTTTGACCCCTAATAATGACCAGTATCTAATTTCTCCTTACAATATCGCCCCTGAATCACACATTCAGGTGAAAGGAAATGATCATCAACTAATATAAGGAAGCTCAGGATTTTTCAACATATTATTGTTGTCAGTACCCTACGAAAAGTATAGATAACAGTATGGAGAATATGGGTACCAATAATATTATAGGGTGTAACGGTTAATTTCAAATTCTCTCAAGGAGGGGAACATTGGGGCCTCTGGGAAACCACAAAATGGGAGAAAAAGGCAGCAAAACCGAAAATCGCATGCAAACCCAACAAAACCACTACATTTTCACCTTAAAAGGAGTCAAAAAGGAAAAACCAAAAACCGCATTAGAGTTTTTGTGAAAACCGAAAACCGACTGCAAAAACACGTAAAATCAGCAAACCCCTCTGACCATCAAAACTGAAAACCTGAACCTTTTTGGCCTAAAAACCGAAAAAGCGATCCAAAAAATGGTCAAAACCGAAAATCTGAAAGCCCCCCTCCTCAAGGTACTGTTCATAGCCACATGAAGTGCTTGTACTGTAGATTTGCAGTAGATTGTAAAAGGAAATAAGTGATAGAAGAAAATAAGTGACAGAAGGAAATAAGTGATAGAAGGAAATAAGTGATAGAAGGAAATAAGTGATAAAAAGAAATTGAAGAGAACAACCAAAAGGCTCCTCCTCACTTCCTTGAATAGTTTAGAACTGGTATTGATAATTAGATTATGATTATAATACAATAATTAAGATTAAAATTCTGAGCTCTATTTCTAATGCTTAAAAGTTGTGGATCAGTGATGTGCAAATTTCTTGCAGTGTCTTCAGTTGTAAAAAAGTATTTTAAATTAATGTTGTTTTTCTCAGTGTGAGTGGTAAATCTCAATGTCAAGAACTGTTGACATTCCTCCATGTACAACTTGCTGAAGCAATTAATCTTCAAGACAGAGCTCTGTCTGCTCAGTTACATGAGACAATAAGGAGTGTGAAGGACCTTCCACCACAAAGGTACAATACTTAGTTCTTATTAACCGAGTGGGAGGTTTGTATGGGAGAATCTTGACCGAGGTCACCAGTACAGACCGAACGCAGTGAGGTCTGTACCAGCGACCGGGATCAAGATCCTCCCATACAGACCAACCTAGCTCGGTTAAAAAGATGTTTATTATATGGCTGTGTCTTATATGCCAATTCTTTATATTCTTTGTACCTTTTTCTCTAGACTGGTCTAGATGCCGGTCTAGATGCCGGTCTAGATGGGAAAATTTAGACCGCTTTCACTATTGATTTCAGCCAATCAAATTCGTGGATTTGGTTGTTCTCAGTCCTTGTGAGACACAACCATATAATAATGCACTTTTTTATGGCACACTTGATTCATAATAAGCCTTCATGGCTTCTTGAGACTTCCTTACCTTTTCCTTTTTCTATTTTATAATTCCTGTGTATTAGCTATGTAAATTAGCTTTGTTCCCCTTTTAATATATGATAAAGGCAAGTGATAAATAAAAGTAAAATAATCATTACAAGCTGCTCTTTGTATTTGTCTCACTAGACTTCACATTCAAGTCATTTCCTTTCTTAGAGTTAAATTTCAGGGTAGCCCTGATATTAATGGGCTGTTGCCAGTTTCTAGCTTCTATGTCATGAGGTTGCTTGCAAAGAACCATGATTTTACTTCTGATATTTTTATTTCTCCAAGAGAGGTTTACTTTAAGTTGCTTAATAACCCTTTCACCCCTTAAGAGTGTTTGGCCTCCAATTTCTCCTTACAATAGCACCCTTCTGTCAAATCTAAAGCTCATGAGATTAAAGGAAATGGTCACCAATTTAAGAAGCTCTTAATTCTCCAAACGAGGTGCAGTAACCTCATGGTTAGTGCGCTCAACTCTGTATCAAGTGGTCCAGGGCTTGAGCCCTGGCCAGGGACATACTGTTGTGTTCTTGGGCAAGACACGTTACTTTCATAGTGCCTCTCTTCCCCCAGGTGTTTAAGTGGGTACCAGCAAATTTAATGCTGGGGGTAACCTTGCAATGGACTAGCATTCCATCCAGGGGGGAGTAGAAATACTCTCAGTCGCTTCGTGCTACGGAAACTGGAGTTAAGCACTGGCCCAATAAGCCGCTTGGCTTGTAGGCAGGCTTTGACTGTCAAATTGATTCTCCTCATTAGTTTCAAGGGAAATGTAAAGAGAGCAGCATTGAGAATATGAATGCTAATGTTGGGATTACTGGTAATCGTTTCCAGTAGAGCAAATGCCTCGCAGTTAGCAACCGCCTCCCGGTTAGCTCAATGGATAGAGCATTGGACTGTTGAGTGGGAGGTCAAGAGTTCAACCGAACCACCACTCAAGGTCTTAAAATTACTGAGGAGAATGTGCTACCTTTCTATAATATCAGGAAATGGATAGACATTCTAGTCTTCTCAGATAAGGATGAATAAACCGTAGGTCCTGTCTCCTGCAGGGTTAGGGGTAGGAGACGTTAATTTCCCATGCACGAGATCACTGTGTGATGGATGTCCTCCCCTGGGGTGGGATGGGTAGGTTGCAGTCCGTAATGCTCTGTTGAGAGTGAGGACTTAACTGGTAAATGAATAAATTAATAAATAAAATGTGTTCTTTGGTAAAACCAAACTAGATGATTCCAAACAGAAATGCCTAGAGCTATTTGTGCAGAATGCTAACTTGTGGTCACTGTTCTGTAGCTTTGCTAGACTTCTGGAATCACTACAGGAGGATTATAAGGCCCGTGCTCCATACTTAGCGTACTTGGTCAATGCACATCAAGGATTATTAGCAACTCATTCACACTTGGAGAGATTAGTAGAAAGAGTGGAAAGGTAATATTCCTAAAATTGGGCATTGATTGAAATTGGTTAATTCTCAAGTAATTTAAGGTCCTCAGATATTATTACGAAATTGACTGAAAGAAAATACAGACATTATTTCTTATCATGAGATTATTGTTGAAAAATAGCAGTCGTGTACTAGATTACATTGTAGGTACAGTCCTTGGCTGTGAAAATTATGTGAGATTGCATTTGAGGCCCAACTACTGTACAACTACATCATTCTGAAACAACTGTTTGTACATGTTTTGCATGTTCTCAGTAATGAAGATGGTATTGATGATGTTGAATATAACTTTTGATCAGTGGTTCTTTTCTGAACTCATAGAGACAAAATCATTTGCCGCACCTACTTTACAACCTCTTGTGTGAAGCTATTTCTTGAGTCAAAGGAGAAAGGAGAGATTAACAAATTTACCCAGGATTTCCAATCGTTGCCAACACCGGATGAAAAGGTTTGACACAATTAAGTGTTGCACTCTCATTGGTGTTTTGACATCAGGTAGTTCTTATGCTATATACATGTAACCAATATCGAACATCTCAGATGCTATGGTGGCTATGCACAGATAATAACGGTTTTAGTGCTCCATGAACTCTTGGAGAAACAAAGGAAAAATACATTCAAGCATTTTGCAAGGAGTACAAAGCATCCCCCTCTAGCTCCCTACCTTCCTTCCTTGTACACCCATTAGTTTTCTAGCAAAGAGACATTTTGGGCATGCAGTGACCTGAAAATTAAGAGCAAACTACCCTTAGTATTGTGTGAATTTTGTGAGTTGTGGTCTTAAACAGCAACAGAGACTATTAATTATTTTTCAGTAATGTTAACAAAATAATGGAAACAGACTTAATTCAACAGTGACTCCTACGAGGGCTTACCTATCCTGCACTATAGATTACTCACATTTTATGTAAACATAGCTTTAGTCCTGTAGTAAATGTTTTCAAGCTCCAGTTTAAGCTGACATTGCTGGAAAAAAAGACCACATCAGTATCAAGCCTTACAGCCATGGTTTCTGGGCTACATCTTGAGTTGAAAGCACAAGTAGCTTAGGGAAAGCCTTTAGGGTAACCAGCAAGGTTGCAAGTGGCTATCATGTAAAAACCCTCCAAACAAAATAATATTCTTTAAATCTGTTGGCAGTGTGCATTGCTTGAGGAATTCCTAGAGACATTAGGGGAGGAGATGGAAAAGCATCCCATCTGGTCAGGTACAAGGCATCAGCTCTAAATCAATGTCTTTAGTGATTTTATACACAATCATGTATGTCAAATTATCCAACAAGTATGATTTTTCAATTGATTTGACAGGTGTCAGTGAAGAGCAATTTCAGGATTCCTTGGTGGCAATAGAACGTGCCATCATGAGCAGTATTTACATTTCTGCATTTTACCCTTTTGGTGGAGTAGACCAACAAATAGATAGGTGAGCTGTGCTCCAAACTGAAGGTTTTGCACTGATAGATTTTTGACCGTGGTCACTATAATAATAGTGCCTTGGAAATGTAGCTAAAAAGTGTTACCGGTATTTGTTATTTAACTGATTAATTGTCTAGAATGCAGAGCAAATTGTAGCATATTAGACTCTGGTCATAAATTTCAGGTATATGGTCCTTGGCCAAGGACATTTCTATGTGGGTAAGACAATTAAGTCATTCATGACAATGCCTTTCTCCACCCAAAGGTGTAAACATGTAGACATAAATTATTATGCTTTTTGTTAGAATACCGGACAAGAAGCTTCTCCTTGCAGTCTGCGAATTTGGTGCTTTTTCAATTCAGCTTATTATTTGCTTAAAACTTAGTGGGCTCTAATTCATTTTGGTAATTGGGTTTATTCCTGAAATTTTCCTTCAATATTCTCAGTGTCTTATTTGTGTTTCTTTACTCAGCACATTTCATGAGCATGTGATCAACCTGCAGAAAGTTATTCATCCCAATCACAAAGCTGTAAGAGTCCCCAAGGTATGTAATTCTAAATCTTTAAAAAGTTTCAGTACCATTTTTTGCCCAATCCTCATTTGGTGCAACTTGATCAAAGAATGTTTTTATTGCATTAATTATTATTTGTACATTCAAACCTGTATTAAGGGGTCACCTGTGGGGAATGGCAGGGTGAGCATTCAATACGGGTTCCAAAGATAAGGGGAATTACAAAAAATGAAAAACAATGCCACTTTATATTACATCATAATTGACCACTTAATGTACAGAATCTTGCTCAAGAATACTACTTACTTTGATTTTGGAAGAGGAACATGGATTAAAAATTACTTGAAAGATTATTCTTAGTTTTATTTGAATGGTCCCTCTCTCAATGACTGTTCAATTTGAGTGGAGGACTATAAAAGCAGGGGGTTGAGACTTTATAAAGGGCAACTGTGACCACTCAATAGAGGTGGCCGCTTGATAGAAGTGAACATTAGAGTGACTAAGAGGGAAACAAATTCAGAACTTTGGCAACTGGCTACTTAATGCGTTAGGTGACTGCTCAATACAGTGTGGCTTAGAACAGGTTTGACAGTATGTAGTTCTTTTTTGACCAAACTGAAAATGTGGATTGGGTAGAAGGCTAACATCCTAGTTTTTTAACAGATGTACCGCAAGGAAGCACCCTGGGAATCAGCTCAGAAAGAACTGCTTGCAATTAATGCGTACAAGGTAATTTCATAACTTATTCAGTAGTTTTTCTTATTCTTAAGAGGGAACATGGGGCTCTGATTCCTCCATAAATCTCTGTCCTTCACACTGCCTGAGTGATGGCTCCCTGTCAAGGTGAATAATACATCACCTGGCTCTCCATTGTTGGTCTTCTCCAAATCCTCTTTGGTTGTGTCCTTTTTCTCTCGATTTGGTGCCAACATTGCAGTAGCACACTGATTTCTTTTTTTCTAAGTTGTCGATGCACAGGGCATGCGATATTGTTTGCCATTGTCATCCCTTGACTTGCTCACCAGCAGCTGTATAACCGATGAATAAAAATTTTGCTTACCGGTAGTGAAATTTTCAATCAAAATAATGCTCTCAAGATTTGCTTGGTTGAAGTATCAGAAACTAGAGTAATAAGTGTTTAAATTTGAGGTTCTTCTCTTACTCCTCTAGACACCTACAGACAAACTTAAGTGTGTCAAGCGTTGTTGTGTCACCATTATGAACCTGTTGTGTTTAGCAAGTGAAACTAGTGTGCCTGGTGCAGATGAATTTGTTCCAGCCTTGGTGTATGTGGTAATACATGCAAATCCCGAAGGCCTCCTGTCTACTATGCAATATGTTAATAACTTCTATGACAAGAGGCTCAGTGGGGAAGAGGCCTATTACTGGATGCAGTTTTGTGCAGCTATCGCCTTCATCAAAACATTGCGCTATGGTTCTAACTAAAGCAATTTGAGGTTAAAAGATTTATCAGACACAATTTTGAAAGGGAGAACTCAACTTGATTTTGAAAGAAGACAGTAGAGAGTTGAAAAGGCAAAAGAAAATGAAGGAGCTGGTTCATTTTGTTAAAGTGAGAAAAGGTTGATCCAAAGATACAGCAAAGTGACTCCGGAGCCAGCTAATGAAGTCTACCAAAATGTACTACTTTACCAAAATGTACTACTTTAACAAAATGAGTTGTCTGAGATGAACTTGCGTAGGTACTAAAAGTTAGAATCACCTGAGACCACCTGAAACCATCTGAAACCACCTGAAACCATCTAAGACCACAAAGGAAACCTTCAAGGAAACATTCCATTGTTCTTGTTGAAAACACACTCAATTAGCTCTACAAATGGCTGGGAGTTGCACGGGAAAATGCAAATTAATTTCTTGACAAAGCACTTGCGTGACAATATCAACATGCAATCGCGAATGCAAAGAAGAAACTGTTTTAAATCGAAAGAAATACATGAAGTTGTTTCAACGGGATCATGCAAATTATAAATGAAAAAGCCCAGGAAGGCCTGAAGACTTTCAAACCTCCTAAGGAAATTTTGAACATTGTGTTTTTTTTTAATCAGAGATGAATTCATATCGTGACGTAGAATTTCACTGACTTTGTTTTTGCAAGAGTGAAATATATGTGGATTTTTTGCAAGGTATTTTACTGCAAATGACAGAATATAGCTGATGAATGGTGGCGTTAACTTCCGCTGCCTAAGTAAATTGATTAGATAGTTGAGATTTTGAGGAAAAAAAAGCCTATAGCCCTGTTTGTGGTGCCTATTCTGTACTGTAGGGCATTATATATGATATCCATAAGCCAGGCTCCCCATGGTTAAACTCAATTGTTAACACTTATTTTCTGGTGTTACCCATAATTTTTTAGGTGCTTTCAAGTTGTTTTAAATTGTTTCAAGATATTTTCAGGTAATTTCAGATGGTTTCCTTGTGGGTTTCAGATGGTTTCAGGTGGTTTCATTGGTGGTTTCAGATGGTTTCAGGTGGTTTCAGGTGATTCCAACTTTTAGTACCTATGGATGAACTTGATCATAAGTGTATCTATAATTATGGCTTCTTTAATTTAGACATTTTACTGTCACTGTTACTTCATTTGTCATTTTTGAGACACGAACAGTTACCTTTGAATCAAAGGAGAGCTGCAAGGTGAAAGGTATCAAAAACAGACAGCTCTAAGAGGCAAAAAATATATATGTAGAATAAGGGAAGATTAAGTTGTTTAGTGACAAAGGAATTTGAAAATTATACATCACATTATTTTTACAAATGTGCCAGTTGTTGCAGCAAGAGATTAGGGTAATAGATTTCATTATTTTGTAAATGTACTCTTGATCTTATGTGCTCTTACTTTTTTACAACAAGAATTTTTCTTATCACTATACCAGTAAATCCCAGAAAAGCCATGTTTATATTTTGTCTCACATTTCAAACCATAACTTGAGAAAGCACTTATGTTCAGTGAAAAAAATTTGTATTTAGTATCTTAAAATGTTGTATGGTTTTAACTCCTGTTATGTTTATAACAGCATATGGGTATAAACTTAAGAAAGATATCTTGACTTTTTATTGGAAACTGTTTGGGATAGTTTGTAAAAAAAGGGGTGTGTTTGGGACAGTGTGTTTACATTTTCTTGTGATAATTATTGGTTCAAGGTACACATTCAAAATTCCAGATTTCCCCTGCTCATTTGTAAGATGTAGCAGCTCTATGATTATTGATAACCTGCCATTTAGAAGGTAGAAGACAGCATGGTGCTACCAAGCAGTTCCATTGTAGGAGTCAAGAATGTCATGTAAACTTGAAATGGATTTATTTTATATAACTTAAAAATAATTAATTTTATCCGAAGCAGTGCTACTCTACAAGCAAGCCCTTCGTCATGACCACTGTAGCACAAGAAGTTTTTCACCTGGGAATCAGTTCAAGGCCTTAGCCCTTGAACTCCCAGAAGTGATTAACATGTAATTTCTCCCTATAATGTCCCTACTGATTCTCAGGTGATGAGAATACTCAAACTTATCTGGTAGAAGTTGATATCTTGGTGTAACACCATTTTTACAAGGAAATGTCTATCAGCTAGAGGAGAGTGTTAAAAATCTGATTGTGGGAGATAAAGGGTTATGAAGCGAGCCCATGAGAGGTCTATAAGGAATTTATTAAGGCCCTGCTTGCAAGCTTAGGTGTTGAAAAATGTGAATACTCACACATAGTGACAATTTTTTTATTATTTTAGTTGAACTTGAGGATTTTATCAACCTGGTGTCTGAAGGGCTGTTACAAGTACTTAATGAATAAATCATAATAAATACTTAATGAATAAATCATTATGAAGCTGATAAGGTAGTTTTCAAACTGGTGTGGAGAGTAATTTGGGATTACATTTAATTTAGTAATGCTCCACTGCACTGGTGAGGAAATTCTGTTTAATAATCAGTGAGAGCCTCATTAGTTGGTCATCATTCTTCTTACTCTCATGATCTTTGTTTGATTCAGGGGTGACACTGTACTGAAATATAAGTTAGAGAGTGCAATGGTGCCAAGTGGCTTATCTAGCACAAGCTTGTGCAGGTTTCTGTAGCATGATGCAAGTATTCCCCTCTGGATGGGATGCCAGTTCATCAGAAGGTCACTCCCAACATTTTATCAGGCTTTCCTGACAATTTACCTGAACCCATTTGTGCTCCTGGATGGAGAGAGGCACTGTGGAAGTAAAGGGTTTTGTCCAAGAACACAACACAATGAGCTAGTTAGGTCTATTACCTGGACCTAGTGACCTGAAATTCAACACCCAAACTTGTAGGGCTACCTATCTCACCTTAAAGTTAAATCCTTGATCAATTAAATTTGATGGGGAAAGATAGTTTTTCATCTTGTTTCAAGTGTGAGACAAAAAAACAAAATTTGCATCCCTATGAGGAATCCAACCTTAGACCTTTAGTTTTCCTGCCCTGATGCTCTACCACTGAGCCACAGACTCTATGTTGGGCAAGACCTGTTACAAAGTTCATACCATGCATGTCCTGCATAATGCCAAGATTGGCACTATTGATAGCATTATGTTTTGTAAGTAGAATAAGAAAGATGGTAAGGAATTGGAGTTTCTCAACAAGTCAATGATCTTCATATGTTTAATCACCAGCATTGTCTTATTGTATCAAACCCAAACTATAATTATGCTAAAACAATTAATATTGACAATAATATATTTATTCACCTATATTAAAAATTTATGCTGCTAGTAACTCACATATGTACACTAACAAAATAAGACCAGAATTACACTTGAGTGTTTCTCCAAAACAACATGTACACATTTCAGTTTATCCATCCTTGTAAAATATGTATGTCCACAATACAACTAATTCTTTTGTTTCTGTCACTGTGAAACATGAAAAACAAAGTAGGTGGGTAGGTAGACTTTATTTAGCCAGGGTGGCCCATTCAGCAACAAGGCTGATATCCAGAGGGGACCTGGAAAGTATGAGAAACTACAAATGCCAAATCAATAAAACATACAACAAATAAGACTCAATTTTGCTCTTTTACTATATCCTATTTATGTTTAATAAATTAATCAATTCAAAGCTACAACACCTCCCCCCTTCCCCAGGCATTTCAACTCTTTGCTCAAATTCCCACCTCCTGGGCAAAAATTGTGTAGAATAAAAATAAGCAAGCTTTATAGACATTTTTTCTGGGCCAATCACTTGCAAAAGTGAACTATTTACCTTCAGCACATTCATATTTAATGATGTAACACTTGTATACCACTGGGAAGACTTGACACTTCCTGTTCATATTCCCCCTCCCCCAAGCTAAGCTAGGTTCAAGTCCCCCCCCCCCAACACACACACAGCACAGGAGACAGCCAAATCCTGAGAGGTAGAGGGATCTTAAAGCTTCAAATTGATTGGTGCATTACCTAAAAAGAATTACCTTTACTTAACTAAGTTGTAAATTGACTGCAATTCATTCCTCACACTAAAATTATAGAATTTCTCCTTACAATAATTATTAACAGAATATCAAGAACAAAGGTGATGAGAATAAAGAAAAATATCAATAATATTAGGGGATTACTAGCTGATCCAATACCAGATTGTCAAAGCGTACATCATAAGAATTGTAAGGTCTTGTATAGCAGACTGTAAGGAGAAGTACTAATGAGATCTTGGGAGTGATACAGTTAATCAGCTTGTCTTACACTATTGACACTTTACTTTTCCCCAGTGCAAGAAATTTTTGAGTGACAAATCCATCACCATTCAATCTTAGTTTCATGTAAAGTGCAAAACAGACATTGATCACAAAACAATAACATCAAGGAGTATACTGCATCTTGGCCAATAACCACGAGGGAAATGCATCCTACACACTGTTCATATAGCAATCAAACATTCCAGGTTTTCTGAGGCATAGGATTAATTTTTAGTTATTTGGAAATATGATGAGCAAGTAAGACTTGCTTATGCCAATGCTGATGACTTTCAAGGACTAATGCTATACAAGAGCTTTAATTAGAACTTTCTAAATCATTTTTAATTGTTATAACCAAGCCTGCATTCATATATTAGAGTAGATACTATAATTTTGATTACATTCTGTATTCCAGTTGTTAAAAACATAATCTTCTCAGTTTGCTCTCATTCCCAAATATACACAGATGGTACTATAGCAGTGCGAAAGCAGCCTTTCCATGTTTGCTGTCACATCATGAAACAAACAGAGAGAGCAGTTTTAGCAGTTTTCTTGACAAAAGCTATAAGACCAAAACCTGTAAACACACTAGCACTAGCAAGCCACTGCTTTTTTTCATACATCAACACCATGAGCTGAACTGAGAATGTAAAGTCACATCCCATGTTTATCAAGGCCTCTTTGATTCATTTTACCTACATGTACCAAGGCACACCTTCTTAAATCAATCTTTCAGCACATAACCTCCTAAAATCTTCAAATAATTCATTAGTGTCCACTCCAGTTTTCTTGAACACAAAACACAGCCTGCCAGCAAAATCCCACTCATTTCCGTCCATCAAGTACTTCTCACATCTTTGTTCTTTTTGATGGAGGTTCATCCCTGGACCGATCATTTCCACGTGAGTCAAAGTCAGCATTGGTCATTTCAGTCAGCCCCTGTAAACTAGAGAACTCTGGGCCTCCTTGCTCATCTTTGTCCTCTTGGGAGACTGGTAAGGAATCTGAGGGGGTGTTACTGCGACTTCCTAAAAGACATAAGTAAAAAGTAACTTATTCAACCAAAATTTGTCAATAATCAGGATGTTCATTATGCAGCCATCAGCAAATTCTTTAGCTCCCATCCACTTATTTTGGTGCTACACAGTCACCTTGCAGACCTATTTCTCCATACCTGCTTTGCCATTTTGCCCTCTCTTTCTCTGTTCTCCACTCTGCAAAGACAAAAATTTAGTTACACCAAGTTGGGAAGATTTTGTGGCATTGTACTGCACTGTTTATACAAAACTGTACAGGCATCTCATTACTTAACAATGAAAACTACGCAGGAAAGTTAAGAAGTTTAGCCAAGTATGACAGGCAGTGTTGTCATTAGAAGTGGTAACCCATTTGTCAGATGGTTTTGAGTAGCTACTTTGCTAATTGTGATCAAAGACAGAAAATACATATTTTTTTTAACTGAATCTAACAACTGGCAAAAAAAAGTTACTCAAATATTTCCCAGAATGGTACACTGTAAACTGTACTATGGCCATACCTTAGCTGATCCTGCCTTTCCAGCCCACACATTAATTGAGTCAAACAGTTCATTGAACCCTCTTGCCTGATAAACCAGAGAAGATAGATTAAAGACTGTTCAATTAACCTTTTATACTCTAACATCACTCTACATATTTTCCATACTGTTCTCTATACATTTCTTAAGGTGCTGACAAGGGCCATTTATGTTTAACAATTAAGAGCATCTTTAGTTGGTGATCTTTTCCTTTATTCCCATGACCTTATATTGTTTGTTGTAAGGAGAAATTAGATGCCAGTCAATGGGTTAACACTAATAACAGGCAGTTCTTTCATGATGGTAGGATTGCCAAGGGCAACTTAGTCACTGTTGATACTTTTTTCTTACTTGATGATGAAGATGATGAGGTTCATGGTAGACTTGACCCTGTCCATGAGGCGGCATGTGTCCTGTGGCTGGATCAATACCATAACCTGTGGCAGCCTGGGAAATCACATGTCGCAAACCTGGTACCTTGAATGGTAAAAAAATTAATTAATTAATTTATGAATATAGTTTATATCTGACCACTTGCAGCCCAGAGGCTGAATTACGGGTGCAGTGTAAGGTTGAGAACAGACGTCAGCATATCAGGTGCCTCTGGCAGCCGCTTCAGTCTATCGATCTCACCTTCCCACCCATCCCACCCCAGGGGAGGACATCCATCACACAGTAATCTTGTGTGTGGGAAATTAACGTCTCCTACCAAATGATTGCTTTTTGATCACCCAACAATCACTTTTTGCAAAAATCATCATGCCGCAAGAAGAAACCAACTCAAAGGTATGGCAAAACCCAACTTTGTGGTAAGTTGGTGGCTCCTGTCCCAATGCAACTACAGTTGATTACATGTTGTATATCTAAATGTAGTGTGCTTAAATTTCTGAAAGAAACCACACAAATCACTCCAAAGTAAATGAAATCAAGAACGGTAGTTTTCAAAGTGTAGGACACCCCACCTGGGTAGATTGAACACTCATGTGGAAATACAAAGACGGCTAAAATTTAATATGCTTATGAACCATATGCTCAACCACAGGGCTCAACCAACTTTCATTACCACTAACCTGAGACTGGACGTTAGCACCAACGTTAGATCCAGTCTGATATTCAGCACTCATGCCACTGCCGTTCATCTGAACACCATACATGTCTGGCTGAGGCTGACTAGTAACTGGCATTTGATGCTGTGATGACGACACAACGCCTGTTGGACTCCCTGCTACAGCACCCCCTGGGTATTGTCCTCAAATTGGTAGGGAAATATAAGGCCAATATAAATTTCTTTTTTTTCGTTTTCTCAGTATGCACAAGTTTTCAAGGCTGACCAATCCAGTATCTACCAGAAGATTTAATAGTTTAAATTGAAATTCAGCTCTCAGGAGTGAAAGGGTCTTAGAATGTCATCTGGTGCATTCCTTGAACTAAACTCAAAGAAACTTTAATATGATCACTCTATCCACCAATAGATAGGTTTGCACCAGCCTAGCAGCTTTTAAATGTTCTTCAAAAAGCAAAAGTTATTAGATAATTAACACAAACCTTGAGCAGAGGGTGGCACTCCTGGCTGACCTTGAACTTGACCTGCTGGCCCACCTCCAGAGGCAGCTTTAGCGGCATACATGTTAGCCTCTTCTTGGGCTTTTCCGATGTTTTTCTTGTATCTAATTCTTTTATTACCAAACCAGTTTGATATCTGCATGGAACAGATGTTACACCAAATTCATTCGCTTGGTAATGAAACTTGCCATATAAACTTCTTACAAAGCACATATAAATGTAACACATGAACATGTGGCTGTACATAAGGTTACATACTGACTTCAACAGCAGTTAACACAACTTTTGAAGTAGGGGAATTTCAGTAACTAGCGGGGCAAGTGGTTGCTGGTTTTCCAAAGACCTGGATTTTGGCAAGGATACTCAAAAAGCTATTTTACTGCACGTTTCTCTTTCACAGCTAACCCTTTAACTCCTAGAAGTGATTAGCATGTAACTTCTCCCTATAATATCCATATATCACCCAGCAAACAGGTAATGAGAATACTCAAACTTATCAGGTTAAAGTTATTATCTTCATCTGACACCAAATTCGTATTAATTATTTACAAGGAAATGTATAGCAGCCATATGGGAGAGTTAACAATTAGATCTTGTGAGTTAAATGCTTTATAACAAAGCCAACTTGACCCTTTGAAGCGGCAGATGCACTGAGTTGCACTAACAGAAGTAGATCTTTCCACCTGAACAGTGCATTTCTTCCAGTAAGCCCAGTCACTGATTAATATTATTTACATGCAAGAGTGATGAACTGTACTATTTAGCCTGTACTATTTAGGTCAACATCCACTATAGTACCACCAGTTTATGTTGTACTATACCTGCGCAACACTGATGCCACACTTTCTGGCCAGTTCTTCTTTTGCTTCCTCACTTGGGTAAGGGTTACTCAAGTGAGAATAAAAGTATTCATTCAAAATTTCTGTGGCCTGTTTACTGAAGTTTCTTCTTTTTCTCCTGAAAAAGTCAAGGAAAAAACTTGGTGCATTAATTCCTCTGATTGTCTGATGTCTTATCAACCTCACGGCTAATGATCAGTATATAAAATAAAAAAAAATATGATAAAATAATATGATTAAATGTTGGTTAAGAGCACTGAAGAGGTAAAAGTACAATAGCCTAACGAATTCTTTTTCTACTGGTCAACTGCCTTACTACAATCCTAGATAATGTACATCTCACCTGTGCCAAAACTTTATTGTGAAAGAAACAAATGCCATCGTCATACATTATGAGAAAAACAGTTCATGAAAAAATGATTAATGCTTAGGATTACCTGGCATCCAGGAACCTTGATCTCAAAATCATAACAGCTTCACAAGTGCTCTGTTTCAGCTGCATCTGAATTGCACTGAACTTGCGATGAATGATATTCACCATACGCTCAATTTCTTTGGGAGAAATAGGTCGTGTTCTTGACTGTTCTCTCAAGAGATTCATGACGTGGGTGGTAAATTCATTGCAAGCCTAAAAGAGGAAAATTCAAATTTTTAGCAAAGGCTGTTGAAATGACTTAAGATTTACAAAAACAGTGCAGATGGTGTTCAAGAACTTGTAATAGCATAATAACTCTTGCTGTTGTCGCATAATATATGTGACCAGGTAAAGCTCTTTGTCAAATAACCTTGTCCTCAATTAGTAGTCATTGAATGGTGTTATAGTTTAGTAGCAGATGTCTGGAACTGTTCCAAAGGATCTCAGTATTAGTTTATGTTTAGAGCTGTTCTAAAGGTTCTTGATATTGGTTTAGTGTTCATTTTTGGTGTCTTGTCTGACCAAAGGCTATAATCTGAACCAAGCATCTGAAATAAGTTAAGTGAAAGAGTTCATCACATAACCTATAGAAATCCAGAGGATTTACAATGTAACACCCATTTTCAAAAGCTATTTCTAATAGGTAACTAATTTTAGTTTTACTAAAATTATTCCAAAGAGAATCCCGTACTTTGTTAAGCGGACTGTACCTGTTCATATTTTTCCAGTTCTGTATGATAAATCTGTCTGATCTGATTCAACTTAGCTCTGTACTCTGTATGTTCAGCTTGATTCTCATGTACCCCTGCTGCTGCTGCTGCTGCTGCAGCCGACCCACCTCCCTTCTCAGGGCCTGCCACACCCTCTGCAAGGAGCATGTTATCCAACCTCATCAGCTGAGGATCAGGAGGTTCATCTTCTTGGGATCCCCTAATACTCAAAACTGTTAAAGAAAAATACAATTATAGTAAGCAGGGCTCAACACTAACGGTAGCCCACTAGCCACAGACTAATAGAAATTCGGTTTTGGCTAGTGGTTTTTGGTTTCCACTGACCAGTTTGGCTAGTAAATGAACTGACATTGTCATAGCATCTAAGATGTCACCAGCCATTTGGCTAGTAAGTTGAGAAGTTAGTGTCGAGTCCTGGTAATTGCAGCCTTGTAAACATTTCACTCCCAAGATCTCATTCACAACTCTCCTTACTGTCTGTCACACAATTTATGAGGTTAGTTTAGAGAATTTGCTATTGGATCAAGAAACAATTCCCTTGTCAATATTTTGCTATATCCTCATCACTTGTCTGTTGGTATTGTATGGATGTTCTAAGGAGAAATTCTGTCTTGATCACTCATGAGAGTTAAAGGGTTAAGACCTTCTGAGCCACTTTGGTTTTTTCTGTTTTCTGTTCTTTTTTTTTTTTTTTTTTAATAAAACAAGACTGATTTTTTGATCATAGTATTGTGGGTAACATTCTAATTAAAGCAATTGTGTTAAGTATCTATGCTATGTAGGAACAAGGATGTAATGAAAGAAAAAGCAACTAAAAACACAAAATGTTTTATTTACATTTTGGCTGAGAGAGACAATAATAATTCAATCTTAAAATAAAAAAAAGGATGGAAGTCTTTTTACACATGCTCTGACAAATGAACATTTCAAATTTACATGATTCCTGGGGGTGGTCTTCTATACAACTCCAATTGGATGCTTTGCAATTTTACTGCAAGATTGCTCATCAAAATTTTACCAATACACATTGCATTGGAGGCAATCATAGGAGTCAACTGAAAAAAAAAAATGGAAATCCCTACAAAGTTTTTTTTTTAATATCTGTTACTTTTTCATACCCTAATAATTCATTCAAAGATATACAATAAAAAAAAAAAAAAACAAGGTAGGTTTTTTTTTGTGCTTCCAAAGTTTCCCAAATGTTTCATGCCTGTGGGTGACCACAAATCAAGAAATGTCAACACTGAAGTATCCTGCTCAATCTCTGGAGACTCTCAGCAAAAACTCATTTTGCTGGAAGCTATCCAGCAGTCACACCAGACAGATCTTGGTTTGATTCAACTCGCCAGCAAGTTTATAGTTACGACTAAATGTGTGCAGCAATGATTGCTTAAACCACAATTGCCATTCCTGGACCAATTGCTTTAATTTCCTTGCTCCTTTTATCTTTCCCCATTCACAGTGTAGTTAAGTAGTGCTGACCGATAGAAAAGATTGGCACATGCAACTGAAACCAGGAGATCTTTAATTATTGTAATGAAAAACCAGAATGTTTTGCTGTGATGTTGACACCTTCTAATCGGCTTTTCACTTTTTGGCAGACTGAAGATTAAGTTCAAAATTAGACTATTGAAAATAACTTACGTACATTTCAATTATTTTTGCTTCAAAGAACAACATTTTCTCTCATATTCCATGTCTTTCACTGACTCACACTGGAATTTCATGACTCTCTTAACATAGAAAATGGTGAACAATTTCATGACTTTCCATGACCTGTAAAACCCTTATGCAAGACCATAATCTTGTTATCATTTCATTTATCAACCGGACATTTAACCAAACTCTAAAGAATCTTGACCAGCAGGCTAACTCAGGTTTACATAAAGAAAAGATATTTTAAATGCATGCACAATAAGCAATTCTTAAGTGATACCGAACTGAGTCATGCTAGGCTGAATTTTGAATCACAAAATTTGAAAGTTGTTCTCTGCATCACAGTTTATTGTATCTACACAGAATACGCAGTTAGAAGAAATTATCAGAATTTATCAACAAAACAAGTAAGAATCAAAAACGGTTTCTGCTATCTTTGTTCAAAACAACTGCAAATTGATTCAGTTACTTAAATAACAGAACGGTTATGAAGTGGCTTTCATAGTTACAAAATTCTCAAAATACTGTAAACAGCAGATATTGGATATTCCATGGTTCTTGAGTACAACTACGTTTGAGGGAAACCTTGTATCCTTCAAATCACTACGGAAAGCCTAAACGAATAATCGAAAAATAAAACAAAGGCGTTTTCTTTGTGTAGTTGGCTACCATTGTTTGCCTAAAGGGAGACCGAAGACAAACAATAAACATTCGCGCCAACAAACTATTATGCTCACACTACAGTATAAACACTCTGTGATATCCGAAATCAGTATCTTTCACTTTAACCGCAACGAACGAGCGATCAAGCGAAAAAACGAACCTGAAAAAACTGGTCGAGATACTAAGGAAATTTATCAGTGAAATCTACACAAACCTTTTCTTGATAGAGGCCTTCTTTCAGAAATCAAACACGTTTAAACGAGCGATTAATATATTATCTTTCCGCTGATAAAAATTTGTTGTCATACAAACTAACTGATGAATGTGTGCGCTTAAGTCGCAGAAGTCTTTGGTTGATAAGCTCTAAAACAATAACGGCAAGGTGAATAATCTTGACAAAAAAAAGGTGTCGTTAATAAAATTAAAATGTGACCGTTTGATGATATGAAATCAGAGGAAAACATCCCTGACAAAACGCCTGTAAACTGACGATTTAAAGTCAGACAACGTTTCGAGAGATGATGGATGAATCGTTCTTTCGAGGATCTTGACAAAAATTTCGAAGGATTTATTGAATACCACCAGATCCGAGTGAGGAAGAAGAATAAGGTGCAAGTCCCATGTTAGCTCAAGCGTCGATAAAAAAAATAAACACGTGGTAGGGTTAAAAGCTGTCATTACTTGCCTGTTTTTTCCTTGATCTCACAGAGGACGTTGAAAAGGGCGGGCTTCATTCGATGGCAGTTCAGAGCATGTTTCCTAAATGGATATGTGATGGGAAAACAATGCATTATCATATGATAAGCCAAAAGGCATGCAGTCAAAAGATCGACAGTTATTAGTATACATAAGAGGGAACTGAACAAGTTTGCGTCACTGCAAAGTCGAGCGTAGTGTCGTGAGGATTTTGAAGAAACGACGCGAAATCAACGATGTGTTCGATTTCACTCACCTCGCTTGCGCTTCGTCCAGAGACTGATCTGTGATGTTCATGATTTGCTGCAAGATATCACCGATGTCCTGCTTACGACCGTCTGGGCCTTCTTCAGGAGGCTTCATCTGCTCCAGTGCAGCTTGCTGACCCGATAACATGGGAACTTGGACAGAATTCATCACATTTCCTTCCATCGCGCGATAAAGATCCAGCTCTCGACAAATAAACCTACAAAATCCAAGATGTCCGCGCGCTTGAGTGACGAATTAGGAATGCTCAACACTCAACTTAACGGACGGTCAAAATAAAGCCCCGTACTGCCACTTTTCGACCTCGCAGTTTCAAAGCAACAACACTTTATGATAGCTGTTATATTTCACAGAGTGTTACGCTCGGTTGGCGGTCGTGTTTCCAATCTGCCACTCAACAAATCTTTTGAATTTGAAGCACAGACGTGTCAATATCTTTCGGTGCGTGAGGAGAACGCGAATGATTGACACCACAGGATTTGCTCAATTAGCATAAAAACCCTCATGTAAAATTCATCAGAGGAAAGTCACACAGCTTTCACTCAGTTGTTAAAACTCACCTTCCTTCCCTTAAGTGCTTCCTGGCTGAACCCAGAACGTCAATGTACAATTTCCTCGCTGAAAATGTAACGAGAACAAAGGATCATCGAAGGGACGCCCCAAAATTTCCAAAATGGCGGCCAACTGAGGACAGAATGTCAATATTCATTACAGTTGCTATGGTGCTTCTGCAGGTGTTGTTTTGGGGCGGAACAAAGAGAAGAAATTTACAGAAATAACAAAAAGGTAAGTGGAAAGACGTCCGGTCACGTTTTTCGTTCTTTTTTTTTTTTTTTTCAGTTTACTATGAGAAAGACATTTACGTAACTTTTACGTGAAGAAAAATCAAACACTTTGTACTACTTTCAGGCGAGAAATGGTGTCACAACACGGTATTACGTATGCAAAATAATTAGTGTCAACATAAAAAAAAAAATTGTTACCAGCATCATCTTGTTTCATTCTTGCATTTTAAATCAGTGGGATAAAAATCGTTAAAAGCTAAAAGATTCCTTCTTCTACCCACCAAAACATAAATAAAAATCTTGGAACCCCATAGAGCAGGACTTCATTTGACGCCATCAACATCAAAACAAAACAAAAAAAATGAGCTGCATCCGAATATTGCAACATATCATCTTTTGTGGTTTTCGCTGGACAAGCATCTTGACAGTAAACCACCCTCAGCTTGCTAGTTAAATGCTTCTGGTCGAAATTTTTTAGCTCGTAATGATATTTTGGAAGTATTTCGAAAACAGCGAATCATATTAGAAGAAAAAATGGGAGACTTTTCTCTGACGTCGAACGTGCGTCTGTACTATGCTAAATTATGGGCAACAGCCAATCACAGATCGTGAATTATGTCTATTCAGTTTTAAATGGTAAAAAGGCATTACGCATCTAACGAGAAGTTGAGAAAGTATGTTTCCTATTTCCCGTTGTATCATCCCGTTGACAGAGGCGATTGCGTTTAATTACTTGAGATGGGCTTAAATGGTTTTCGATTTGACGTCGCCAAAAACTTGTCGGCTCCCTTGCAACATATTAAAAAATCCCTCCGCTAAGTAACAATTTCAATATTTCTCACCTCTCCCGCATAAGTCTGTTGCGGTGAAATTACTACTCGTTTGTTTTTATTTATTTATTTATTTTTTTATTTTCTAATACATGGCTTTCTGTCCCACCTCTCCACAAGGCCACCAAAAACAAACTGAAAACCTTGTTTACTGCAGGATCGACGGAAAAAATAAACGGAATAAAGCAACAATTAGATTAATCATTACAGAGTCGGCAGCAAAATCTCCCACGCCTAGGTAACAATAAACCCGTAAAACCTTATAACCACGTGCGTTTAGTTGTTTCCCTGGGTGATCTCAGCAACTTGGAGATCTTACGAAGACTTTTGTCTCAATTTTGGGAAGAAAGGATTTTCTGAGAGAATACCTTTCTTGAAACATCTACTTCTACCTAATACACGCAGTTGTTAAGATCATTTGTTTATTTTTTAAGGAGAATCTTTTAAAAACGATACTGCCGTCTAGACACAAGCAAGCGTGATATGCCGGAAAGCGATCTTCCGAGTAAGCCTCTTTGATAATATCTACATCTCTTGGGACAAACTATTTATGCGCTGAAGCACTTAAAGTTGTATTGAAAGTGAAAAATTTTCTTTTTCTGGGATAGTTTTTCTTGCAAACATGCTGTGGCACCGGATTAATATCGAAAAGAGATATGCTCAGAAAGGGGAGATACTTTTCAGTAACTGGTACCAGGAACCCGTATGTAATGACCCCTGCTAGTACAGAGTGAAAACTCCTAACAGATATTATCAGGGTTCTACGAAACACCTTTCAAGATTATTTTCTGAGGTCTTTCTGAAAACAAATTTTTTGGGTGCATCCAACACTTTTTTTGTTGTCAATGTCCATTTACGACAGTTTATATTTCGCCATATAAAGCCCATTTCTCGCTGGATTAGACTTGACCTCGAACTAAAACAGAAAGCCAGTCGTAGAAATATTTCATTTTTTAAGTTTCTTCCGTGATCAGTAAACGCTAATTAAAATCTTTAAAAGCATTGGAAGGCTTTTCACATCTGTTCATTTTGCTTTTTGTTTTTGTGTTGCGTATTTTGCTGCAGATTTTATTTAATCGACCAGCTTTTTCCAAAACAGATGTTATGAGTCTTTCTTACGGTAAGCTAAACAAACATTTTGACTGTAGCGAAGTTGTGTAAAGAGAAATAGTTATCATCCGGCTTAAGCACAGAAGCAGTATATTAAAATACGTTTAAAAAAGCTGAAGCTAGCACTGTGAACAGACAGGGAGCATGCGCGAGATCTAGCCTTGAGAGGAACATGGAGCACGTGACGTTCACATGACGAAAAGCGAAACTGGCTAGGTTCGCTCACTGGAAAGTCATATGATCTTGGGGAAAAATTTTAGGGTTGAGCCTAGCCCTGAGAGCGCTCTCACAGCACGAAGTTTTAATTTACATGAAAAGATTTTGTTACAGTCAGTTTATTTTCTTCTGGACTTAGCTTCCAGTTCAAATTAGTCATCGGAATGTTACCGCTTCACTTTCACAGGAAGAAAATTCGATTTGAAATGAATTAGATTTTTTTTTTAAGTGTACGACTGAACTACGTTTGATTGAGATAAATCAGACCAAAATATTAAATTTATTTTATTTACCTCAGTTTGCAACAAATACAAATTATAAATAAGCAGAGAAGAATTAGGACATAAGGGATGAAGTAATAACTACAGACTAAATCCTAAGTTGTTGACGTAGAATGATTTTCACATCCCCCACGAATGACATTGCAAATGATAACGCGATCTGGTGATATTTGTTATAAAAAGTCAGCAAGCAGATACGCTTTCAAGCTGTGATCGACAGCTTCAGTTTTGTCTCAGGTTTGCTAGACAGTTTTTGCCTTACGCACATATTGTTAACATATATTACAATTTAGATTGCTTGATGTAATATTTAATCGATTGTAAAGGGCCTCAGTTCTTCTGACTTTATAGATAGAGAAAGGGATGAACCAAACTTGCAGACTGCGGAAAGCAAGGGGAAAAAATCAAACGCTGTCGGAAAGCTTACACAGTTTTGCTAAAGAGCTACTGCCCGTGGATTCGTACATCTGGCATCCTCTTCTTCAGTCCAGTCCAGTCCAGTGCAGTCCAGTCATCATAGTTTCTCCCTGCTTTTGTGCACACGACTTTGCTGGGAATGAATCTCGTGTCGGCTTTCTTATCTTACCCAGTAGATGTCGCTTTCGAAATGAAACAGGCAGAAGAGGTTGAATTTCCCGCAGTCACCGTTTGCAACGTAAACGCGGCGAAGAAATCCGGTTGGAGTGAAGTGGATCGTAGGGGAGGGTCCAAAGGTTACTAGTTTATCAGTGTACACTTATACCTCATATCATAGAGCACTTTCACAAATGGCTTCCGGATTAATAATATTCTTTTGTTTAAATTAAAATTAGCCCTTCTGGCCTCGTTCTCCAGTACAAAATTCAAAAGAATACATTATCTCAAGCGAGGCCAGAAGGGCTAAATTAAATTTAAACAAAAGAATATTAATCCGGCAGCCATTTATGAAAGTGGTCTATATTGTGGTCGCTTGTTATCGTTCAGTTAATTTCCTTGATATATTAAATTCTGCAGACTGTATGACCTTCGGTGGAAACTGCCAGTGGAAAACTATTTAGTACACACTATGATTTCAAGGTTTCAGACACAATTTTTCTTTTGCAGCAAGCATGTCTGCGAACAAACTCTTTACTTGAAAATTGTGCTAGGGAGGAGTGTGCTTTCCCACCAATCGCCTCTCTGGCAAACCAAACTGAGAGTTTGTGCGAAGTTTATAGACACATCTTTTCCGAGGACTGAAAGTTAGGCTTACCACTGCAAGTGCGAGAATATGGTCTCTGTTTAAGGAAAGTCTATCGCCTTTTCGATTTCAGCATCTCAAAAACCTATGCTTCAACATCTCTATCAATATTTGTTTTGTTCCCTGACCCTGGGAGTTCCTAATTGCCAGCTTTGATAAAACTTTAGCTTCACCTGCGCCATGTAAAAATAGTAACAGCACATGCAATAAAATAATAAGGAAAAGGAAGCACACACCTTCACCCGGAATAAAACTACTTGTGAGAAAAACATTCACAAATGTGTCTTTTCCGTGACAGCCGTTCAGACCTTTACAAATAGTCTTGACAACCAGTGTGAACAAATAATTTTAACAATCGAAACAAAATCACTAAAATGTTTTCTTTTTCTAAGGCTAACAACAATCTTGCGTAACAACAATAGATATGCGTTATTGACCACGTGTGAGATCAAGATACTGCATTTTAGCTGAGTTCATCAGTTTTTTAACATTTTTATGGTACAAGACGAATTCGAGGTCCATAAAAAAAAAAGAAAGAGGCTAATATCAGGCCATCTTGACCGAACCACCTCGATTAATCAAGGTTTTATCATATAGCAAAAATACTTCGATGTAATAAGAATCAAGAATAACTTGTTTATTTCGAGAGCCGGGAAAGAAATCGAACTGTGTTTGTGGCACAATAAACCCATGAGAGTCGTTGAATGTTTCCTTTGTTCTTCCCAATTTTTCCCAATTTTTCGACACCGTCGCCGACATTTTAAAAGAAAAACGAACCTTGAAGTCCACCCCACCCAATATTTTTCCTACTCGGGATTAGGGCGGGCGATCCCGAGCGGGCAAGATGGGTAACCAATCCGAACACAGGACTCACTTCGTGTTGTCCACGGGCGTTGCCGGCTGCGTAATAAACAGTTTCTCTCAAAGGGCTCACCTTCTGACCCAGGTTGCTCAATAAAATTTCCTGTTTTAATCCTTGATACACTCATTTAGACGCCCGAGGGTCTTCATTTGCGCCTTGTTACGGTCGTTTTCCAGTGTCAGTCAATGAGGAAAGTTCCTTTTACCCTATCACTTACTGACAAGAAGTTTTTTTACGCTTGGTGCCTGTAATTTGGTCTCTCAGAAGGGAAAGTTATGGAACCGAGTATTTTAAACAAACTTTAGCTCTTGTTTGGCAAAACCGCAAAATAAACAATCTTCATTTTGGCTAATCATCCTGTCTAAAAATATTGAACAATTGGGGTGGACGAATTGTAGGATAATTTCAAGAAGGTAATTTGGTCTTATCAACATAAATTGGCCACCCTAAAGAGCTTACATGCTGACGTTTCGAGCGCTAGCTCTCGAAAATCAGCTTAGAAACTCTTTACCGTGGCCAATTTAAATTTTCAACCCTGTTGATCACACCAAATTACTTTGTTTTACATTCCCACCGACGCAGCTCCACGGTTTCTTTGGAAACTCCCCCTCCCCCCACCCCCTAGTTTCAAAATGGTATGATATGCCTCTTTGGAGTTAACAAGCGATTATTTTATCGTGAACGGTTAGATACTATTGACCCCTTTTAAAACTTTTAATTTTTTTTTTTGCCTTTTATTATACTTTCCTTAGATAAGAGACCTCGCAGGATCAGAGGATCACTGGGTCTTTTGTTCTATCTATTTACGTAAATTTGAGATTGCTACTCGCGTTTACAATATTCTTCCAGTGCAAAAAGAGAGAAAGAGGGCTCGATCATTCAACTGATATGAAATGGAGTCCGAGAAGCTTTAAGTTTGACTTATTTATTTTGAACGGCAAAGATACAACCAAGGCTAGCTCTACAGGCTTACCTCTTGAGACTTACCCACGAATGCTTCTTCTTACAGAGGAAATTATGAATAGGGAGCTAATAAACAAAGTTCACGTCGGCGTTAGGCAACCCTAGTTAAATAATGGATCACACTCTCAGCAGAAGCTTTTACTTAGAAATTTTTCTTAACGGAGAAGAAAAACTCTCAGAATAGACGACCTTTCTAATACTCGCGTTTTTTTTTTCTTTTTAATCCGAACGAAGTCATTCCAGAGCTTTAAGATAAGCGCGGCAGCCATTGTTGTCGTTAGTTCAAAGTGAAGACTGCGATGAAGGGACTGGGGCTACTCTGGCTACCGCTCCCCCTCCTGCTACCGTGGAAGACAATGAATACTTAGCAATCTCCGTGCTAATCGCCTCGCGTGTGTTCTGCTCAGGACTAAATATAATTACGTACACTTTAGGCCCGAACATGCAACCTAACAGAGCGAATGAGCTAACGAGAGTGGTTACTCCGCCAATAACGCCTACATACCATCCCTCCAAGCCAAAAACCACAGGGTAATACGCAGCGGAGCACAACAGTAAAATGTACATTGCAAAACCAATATATCTCGCCTCGTTGAAATTCTCGGGAATTTTTCTACCTTTGAAAGCATAATAGATGCACGCAAGTGAAAGGATCATTAGAAATGCTACACTAATGATTAAAAGTACATGACCAGAAACGGATCTGAAAGGCTTACAAACCGCGAAAATATATTGAAGAGGACGGACAATGGTTTCTTTGGAGGGTGGGTCCACAAAAATCCAAATCAAATTCAGCATCACCTGTATGGACGATATTATAAGTAAATGAAGTCTCTGTCCTGTGAGACAGAAGTTTTTCCGTTTCTTTGGTCTGGAAGTCAGGCTGTCGGGTAACTTACCCTGAAGCCGAAAAGCTTTCACGATTTTCATTGACTTCAAAAGAAGTATGGAGACGCATAAAGTGTACACAGTGTCGCGCCAGATGCAGGTAACACGACACAAGATGTCTGTAGGGCTTAACAAGTTTAGTAAAGCAAAGGCGAAAAACAACACCACTACAAATAGCAAAAGAAAGCTAAGTTCCTTATTCGAAGCTTTTACTATCGGTGTATTGCGATGCTTGATGAAAATGGCAAAGCATAGGAAGGTCAAACCCAGACCAAGTGCTGTTGTACATGTCACTGCGATGGCTGAGAGATCGCTCCATTTTAAGTTGTTCAGTGGAAGATCCAAGCATTTTGTCCTCTCCTCGTTGGGTTTCTCTCTCTCGGAACATTCGGAACAGTTAGAAGAAATACCATCGGAACTTATGGTACCAATTGGGCAGTCAACGCACTCCCAGCAACAAGACGATCTTGTGACTTTTCTTTCCCCCGGCTTACAATCTTTGGAGCAGACTGATAAAGGGATGCCGCCGAATCCATTTTGATTGTTCCAGGTTATCTTCGTTAAGTTCAATCTAAGTTTAGAATTGCTTCTTCTTGTCCACCAACCAACAAGGACGCGCTCGAGACCTTTGCCAATTTGGCTCTTGAAGTTCACAATATCGTAAGAAGCTTCCAATGGGTCTCCATGTTGGTCAAATTGTACTGTCCCTGTCAAACCTTGGAAACTCACATTCCTCAAGTAAACGTTAAGGTTTTCCCCCATCACTTTCAGATCTTGAATTGAAGGGCATTCTCCGCCCTCCAAGAGACCATGTGGCTCCCTACAGTTGTACATATTGTGTAGGGCGTGGGCGAAGGCGTCCACCCCATCAATAGTGTATGAAACGTATGGACTGCTTATGAATGGATTCTCATCAGAAAAATACTCTTCTAATGAACCACCAGAAATGTTTTTATCTCTTGGGTTATCCCAGTATTCTTGCCACCACAGATAAGTGCTGCCTGAAAAGTTCCTTTTAGCGAGATTCACCAGATATTTTTGGTATTCTTCACTTCTCGCAGCCCTGTGCAAAATACCAAATGATCCATTAAGTAAACCAGCGAAGCGATCATCCTCGAAAAAGGGATCTGTTGGTGTTGTTCCGTCAGTAAATATCCATGTTTTTCCTTTAACACCTTGTCTTACTACCTCATTCATGAAAGACTGCGCGTATCGTCCATAAAGCCAAACGAGCACCACCTTAACATTTTCCATTTTCTTGAGTTCAAGCACGATTTTCTCAACCTGATCAAATGGATCCACTCGGGGGACAAACCTTGTCAAGGCAATACAAAGGTTTTCTCTCGAGTTTGATTCTTTCTCTATTCCCCAGACCCCATATCGGCCGAAGGAGTCGTCAAGCGCTATTGCGGCAACATAAGTCCAGTTGAAGAACTGCGCTATGTCTGCAAGTAAACTGGCGCGCCAACTATCAGGTGAAACTGTGCGATAAAAATGATTGTAAAGCGTAGAACTCAGTTCCACGCTTGTCGCTAAGGAGCTTATGGACGGAATGTGCGCGATTTCAAACAAACTTGAGACCATGATAGCACTGGCAGAATCCATTGGCCCAATCACGCCTGCTATTTCCTTGCCTGCGTTTTTGCCTGTACAATTTTGGAGTGAAAATCGGTGATCACTTTTCACTACTAACTCATAAGACGTCTCAACGGCTATCGCCGGCTGGAGACAGTAATCCAATATTTCATAACCAATTGTCACATTTGGCAAGAATCTCTTATTGTCGTTGATTCTTTCGATGGCAAATATCATTGCTTGAACAGAACCCAAGTTTGCGGCAAGGAGATTGCCGCAGCTGTTGTTTTCTCCCGCGTTATGATGAAGATCAAACAGTCCCCCTAACATGATTGTACCATCTTCATAGGCAGTCCGTCGAGGAAACGTTTTGGCTCCTGCCTTCACAAAACACGATAAGACCGCGGCAAGAAAGATGAACATGAGAAACGATGAAGGCATCGCCATGCTGTTTTTCAGTATGCTATATGCTATGTTGGAAGACAAAAAAAGGAAATCACTATAATCATCAATTGTCTCAATGAGACACAAGTTATTATTCTAAATTGTGTGTTTTTTCACTGAGCCGTCTTACCGGCGTCATTTTAAGTGCGTTCATTACATAATTACAGAACTTCGAGGTTCCCTGCCTTTTGAAAGCCGACAAAGTTTGGAGTTTCGCGTAACAATCGACTTCAGAATTAATAATTTCTTCCTTTATTTCTAAAACGATTTTTCAGTAAGGCAGATGATTTGCTCTGTAAACACAGTACCAGTGAAACGTGCTTAAAAGTTCAAAAGGGAAACTGTTTTTAATAGCTCTGACAGTTTTTAAACATACACAAGCCTTTGCAATCCAGGCTAGCCAGTACCATGTGGCTTTTGGTCACCTGATGAAACTGCGTAGTGAACTAAGGAAGCGGATGCTGATTTTAAAACTTCGTCAACACACATTAACGTGTGCAACTTAGCACGCTCGATTACAAAATCAATGGTTGTTTTATCTGTTCAAATCCATTCACCTCGCCAAGGTGAAATTAATTCAAGCAGCTTGAAAAGATGAAAAACATAGACTTGCAATTAAATTCCCAAAAAATGGCGCACATGCATCCAAATTGAATTCGTCTTTGCACCAAGCGTAAAGAATTTTATAGCTCATCTCAGTTCCGTTTCGTCCTAAGTGCAAATGATTCTGATTGGTCATGTTTGATTTGAATTACAATGCCTACTCGGAGAAGTTTAATCTACATGGAAAAGTTCCATTTGTGTCAAATTTGGCACAACCTAAATAAGCCTTAGCTAATAAACTAACAAAAGCTAATGTCTTCCTTATTTGAAGCCGGTCGGTGCTAAAAAAAAAACTAAAACGACTGAGTGATTGATTGTCTGTTCGTTCACAAAATGGCGACAACATCAGGGTTCCTAATCAGCAAAGAAGTAATTTCTGATGGATTGGTCATTCTTGGTAACAGAATTTAATAAAAAATATTAATTATAAATAGAGCTTTAATAAAGGGCCACCTTAAGTGTAGCAGGAAAAAAGTTTTGCAAATAGAAATAACTGAAATTTCTAGAGTAAACTGATTTCTGCGAGTTCATATTAAACATTGCACAACTTTGACGAGGAAAGAAGCGTAATTTATTTCCCAAAATTAGGATCCCTCAGGTGATTCGTACATGAATATTTTGAGTTGACTCTTAATTCGCATGCGAATTTTTCTATTGGGTGAAATTGCTGTATTTTTGCGGCGCTGTATCTATTTTTTTTTTGTAGATCGAGTATTATCGACAAATATTAAAAACTTCAAATCTTCACGCAACTCATTGAGCTTAGCAGATCCTACCTTCGGGTGAACTAATCAGGCTAAACAGGTTTCTTTGTCACCTACTCTGCCACTGTATTTATATCATCCTGGAAACTTTTTCCGCTTAATGAAAATGTTATGAGCATTAACTGAACTGTAATACATTTTTCGATAATCTTTGGTTCCTCGCCCACGTCTAAGCGAACGGTTGGCCGAAGTCCCTTTCGGTTTTCTTCTCCAGAGATCTGTGAATCCCTTGAGCGGTGGAATGGATTAAAAGATATTGTATGACTTTATGGAAGGCGGCGAACTACAAAGAACAGTCTCTGAGTGCCTTCTTTTTTCTTGGATACCTTTAGTTGTGACTTTCGATCATACTTGTCGATAATGAGGAATAAAGATTTGATTGTGCTTCACCAAACATAAGGTAGTGTGAAACACTATTACTTGTCATGAAGGGCGTATATGTATTGCCTCGTGAAGAAATGGCTGCAGATAAAAAAAGAAAACTTTTGCGTGGTAGCGCTTACTACGAAGGTCATACCTGAAGTTTCTTTCTCTACAATCTCGCCGTGTTTGAAGAATGAAATCGTATTTTGAGTTCTTTGCTGATTAAAGTAGGAACATTTTCTGTGGAAGCATCTTGTCGGAATTAATCAATAGACTGAACATTACCATCGAAACATGATTGAATTCCGTACCTGTTCTGAAATGCAATTAGATAACAAAACATCACCAACATGTCAGTACCTTTACAACTGGATCAAGAACGCGGACCATCCCATCTTAAGCACACTCTCTCGGTCACGAGCAAAATTATGAAAGCTGAATATCCGGACACCTTCACCACATGTCTGAAGCCAGAATTTGAATCCAACTAATTGTTGTCCTAGTTACGATGTTCCTCCGAAAAAATTGAAAGTTCCTCTTTAAGGGTGATTTGCATTTAAATGTGTTTCGAATGAGAGGTAGAGCCATTAAGGCCTTTCAAAAACGATTTACAACACAATGTGGAAATTAAATAAACGGGACCTCCCGTCATTGTTTGTATACGGTCGAATTTTCAAAGGTAAAATTTCTCAAGACATCGAGATCTGACGATCTTCCCACGGTTTTTCGAATAGCCGATAATGATAGCGAATTTGAGCGTGAACCAAGCTATCGGCTGAAGCGCCCGAGACACGCAAAAGTTTGGATGGATTCCAGTTCATTGAAGTAAAAAGTATTTGTTGTTTTGAAATAGGCTTTAGAACATAAAATAGAATAGCTTTTCTTTTCTGAATATGCGTTTTTTAGAGGTTTTTGAGTGTTTGTATCTTGAAGTAGAAGCAAGTGATAGTGTCGTAATTCATTCCATTACGAGCGTAAATTACAATTATTCGAATCAACTAAAAAATAAATTCAACATCTTCAAAGATAGGGGAGAAGTGTTCCTTATATTTTTAGCGTGCGATCTGTTTCAATGTAGCCTGACACATCCAGGTTTCATCTTTACGAAGGCACTCCGCTCTCCATGAGCCGATTAGGAGACTACAAATATTATTGGCATTGCTTGTGTTACTTGCAACTCAAATCTGGTTCCAAACGGAATGTCTTGTTTAGTACTAAGCACGTTTCCATATTTATATTATAGAATTCGCTATCTGGCATTTTGACGAAGGTCACCATTTCTTGAGTCAAATTTGAAAATATCACGCACAAATTTCTCAAAATGTCTTCGATCTCGTGATCTGCTCTTTTGCGAAGTAGTGTATGACATCACCAATTTGTGTTGCCTAATTTGCACCTTACAACTTGAGTTTCTCCCAAAGTTCACATTGCCCAAAGGAGAGTGCCATTCTTCTCTAATTAATTAAGTAAACAACATTTATTTTTATTTCATGGACAAATGAACGCCAAGCAATGTGCGTGTATTGTTGGAATCCCCTTTACAGAAAAAATAAATAAATAAATAAAGCTGAATTCGAAGGTGACAGATCGTACTAATTAAACTTAAAGCGAAAAACAGGGCAAAAAAACGTTTTGTTTTGTTTTTTTGTCTTTCTTTTGGACGATGACCGGGGACCCACGCCGGGTAAAGAGTAATTGAGTTTGAGATGTAGAACGCAAGCCTTCATTAAGCCGCCCTCGGTATTAGGCCAATATGAATAATCTTACTTAGGGAAGCTTAGCCTATCAAAGGGCTGTATAATTGAAATCATTAAATTCCCAGCCGCTGGACCATAAAACAAAATATGAATGCAATTTGTCGACTGCTGTTGCACCGTCATGCTAAATCAAACGGAATAAAATAGCGAAATTTAAATAGGAAGAACTTTCGAGAAGGGAAAGCACGATGACGTCGATATCTTGGATCAAGCAAATCTTTTAGGTTTCACTTTTAACTGTGAAATGTTCAGCAGGCAACCGTGGACGATACTCCTACTCTTGTACGTTGGATCAGCGATGATCTGATCGGCCCAAAATAACGAATATGAAATATAAATATAGAGGCAAGACCGATACAACGTAGATAAGTAAATTTTAAGACGGAGCACTATATTTCGGCTTGCCAAACCAGCCTTCTTCAGGTGCAGTGGGAAGTATAGTGCTCCGTCTTAAAATTTACTTATCTACGTTGTATCGGTCTTGCCTCTATATTTATATTTCATATTCACTTTTAACAGCTCCCTGACCCACCCCCACTCAGTCGTAAAAGCATTCTCCTCAGGAGTTGTGATCACGAACCAACTTGGACTGAGTTAGTAAAAACACGATGAAGTTAACCCGTAATAGGTGTAAATTTTCAGCAACGTTTATGAGCTTCACGGAAAGTTTTATTGCTCACATTTTGTTTCCTTCAGTTTCCCTCCAGGTGATAACTTTTTCAAAATTTAAAATTCGATTTATAATCGTGGATTTTCGCCAACTGCCTCAAAAACAATGGGTTCCTTTCTGTCGGGTTGTGATAACATTATCTTTCACAGAACAAGTCAAAAATATTATTTCTGTCGAAGAGTCGAACGTAGCCTGACGAATAACTATGGTTAGATTGACCCTTCGACATTATTCACCAACCTGAAGTGATTAAGATGCAATTTCTCCACACAGCATTGGCTGGCAAATGAGAGGGGACAATCTAGATATATGAACTTGTCGGGTTGAAGGTGTCACCTTTACATAACTCTCAAATTCTCATGATCGATGTACTTAGAGCTGTATTGCATCCGGAGGGGAGAATTGCTGATCAGTGAGATCTTCTGAGATCGACAGCGCCGGTTTTAAGCTACCGTTCCTTGGACATGCGCCAGAATAAGTCAGAAACCTACGTTATGCAGATTTTCCCAAAAAGAGCTGAAAGTAATGCCTACTACTTTCTCGACCTTTCGATATCGCAATATAAAATGAAAGAATAAACACTGTTTATCATAGTTTGAAAAATGAAAATAAACCAAACTTACCATGAACTCTACCATCAAAAAATGATACCGTTGATCACAACGGATTTCTTTTCGTAGTTATCAGAAATCTCTTTATCCATGTATTAAGACAAATTCAAATTTGCAAAATGCAGCCGTTTTTCAATGGTTGTAGCACAATGACACCTGTTCATGTAGACACAACTAGTGATGTTTTTTATTCACATTTCATCTCTCGTCATTGCCTCGATCAAATCAAAGAGAATCAGGCAGGTTTTTCTGATATTATATGTTCACATCTGCTCTATTCATGTTTAACCCAACAAGGTGGGAAGTCGATAAAGAGGAATATTTCGAAATCACGTAGGACCAGAGCTCCTGTGTGGCACTCAGCAAGTGCTACTCACGAGGAGAAAAAGATCCAAACTATTTACGCTATCTTGCAGATGAAGTAAATTATCTCGTATGTTATCTGAAAGATTGGCCGTGACACCAGCGATGAGCTGATGACCCTTCAAAACAGCGTCGAGTTGGCATTTTCTTTGCAGTTCGAACCAATCGAGAAAGCTTACCCTCTAAATGTTTTGAAATAACGCTATGATTTGCGAAGTTCAGGGAGGGATTTTAAAATCATCCTTTATGATTTTTTTTTCATTTACGGGTTATATTTACAAATTTGACAATTGCCATACATACATAATTCAATGTTTCCATGCCTGTTTTTCGAACCCAAAAAAGAACAGCTTCAACTCAGTTTTCTTGTCCGCAAAGATATCCACATGCAGATTGTGTTTGTTTTTCGGTTGTACTAGAACTGTCAAATAGATTGGCATTGATAGATTTTCGTTGTCGTGCAGTCTCAACTAAAAAGGAATTTAGCGAAGTCAAACAAAGGAAGGAGTGATATATTTCCATAGCGGTCGAATTTTTGTGCTGATAGTTTCATTAAATTGGAACAGCTGTGTAGCATAATAACGAGATACACTAAAACCAAATGATAGCCTAATTATTCAAAGAGGAGCAACTCACTTGGTTTTTGAAATGAGTATTATCATTTCCAATTCACCGAGAGTGCACTCAAAAGCTGTGTTCTTCGATAGCAAAATGTTCCTGACCCGGCTGAAAAAAGATCACGGTAGGATCAAATGGAGTGTGCATCACCACAAGCACGAAACATCGGGTGCAAGTAAAACTGCGTTTCCAAATTTAAGAAAAAATTTTTTTTGCATAAATTATAAACAAGTTTTTCGCGAAACATATGAGGGTGAGGTTAAGTTTTTCAAACCTGAGCTTTAGTTCATGATTTTTGTTTTCATACGCCACAGGAGAATGCCAATGTTTCGAACCTTCGCTTTCTCGAAACTACAGATGATTCGAACTTTACGAGTCTTCCCTTACAGGTTGAATACAGTAGTTTAACTTAAATTTATTAAACCCACCGGTGTTCCAAACGTTCCTCTTTTTCCTAACTCAGACGGCTTGAAATGCAAATTTTACTGAATTGCAAAACGAAGCACAGAATTTAGGTATTATTGTTCAAAATGATACAATTTGTTTTTCTAGAGTTGCTTTAAACGTCTTCTGAAGGAGTGTGTATATATGCGTTCTATTGACGAATTTCATTATAAATCGCCTGCCTCAGGTCTTGTATTCTCCAAATATACAAACCATTTAGTTCAGCTTGTTTGGTTCAAGCTACAAAAATGCGCTATTTGTAATTTTAGTATAAGATATTTAATGTTATGTCACTTATCAGTGATACTAACCTGGCTTTCACATTTCTTGGCGGTACCTTTTGCTTTGGAAGAAACACGACAGTTGGCATTCAAGTTTGAAAAGTGTCCAAAAAGCACTTTGAGCCGTCAGTTTTAGCAGTCGAGTTTCGATATTCGATATTGCGCCAATTGAGCTAAGATGTAAAATAAAGCACTCTGATTGGTCCATAGGTAAAAGTTACTGAGTCACGTCCTACTTTCTAAAGGAAGATAAAAGACGTATGGCACCCGCTGGGATACCAAACGCGTCATGATATTTCCTTAAACACCCTACTGGACCATTCTAGGTGCCCTTGGTTCCAAAACGTTTCACTTTTGGAAGGTCTATCAAACCCCGGGACTTTCGTGAATATTTTACAACCGTTTGCATGACTCACGTGGAGAGTAACAGAATAATTAAGTAGCGTTAAACGTTTCATATTAGTTTTCTCGAGAAAAAAAAAATTCATCAAAAGGCATTAGTCAACTGCAGAATTTTAATTACAGCTGGCGACATAATTCAATATTCGATTTGGCGTTTACGGCAACGAAAATTCAAATGACTTAATGTTGAAAATGAAATATTATTGTTCCAGGGTCCACCCAGTTGTTACTGCTGTGTTAGAGGACTTTCAGTTTTGTCTACTTTCGTCTTGTATCTATTGATCAATTATTAATTTCATGATTCCTGTCGCCATTGAGACTGCAGTTAAGTTCAAAGTTGACAATGGCCCTGAAAAGAGGGTTGAAATTGGTCGCTTTATGAAAAGAAAACATTATCAGTTCTAACGGACATATATCGGCTGACAAATTCAAAGAGAGCTCTTCAAAAGACAAGATAGTATGTGAATATGACTATCATACAATGTCTTAGTATGTAAATGTAATCCTCATTTGTGAGGTTTTAAAAAATTGGCTTTATTTATACGTTAAGTTTATTAATAAGGAAACTCTTCAATGCAGGCTGTTTAAAAGTTTAATTAAGCTCTATCGGAGTCTTCAGTTTTGAGAAGATACAGTTTCTAAGTAAACCCTATTGCTATCTAGTCGATGGCAACGTAGTTACAAATTTGCCTCGAAAAGAATTTTTGCGTGCCATGTAACAGCCAAAACTATGTCGAAACTAATTCATTCACAGGTAATCCAGTTTCAACTGGTGGCAGGACACTTAAATACTTACTTTGCCGGCAAATTATACGTTTTCTCATTATTATCATTTATTAAAATTCCTAATTTGTAATCTTCAAAATGATTCAGCTAATTCTGACGACTCGTTTTCCTCGTTTATCACAGGTTTCAGGTGACCAAAAATTCTTTGTAAAGTCCGACAAGTTAACAATTATGACAGCCTAACAATCCTTTTAGATCCTTAGAGGGTCATATAATTACATATGCAAACTAATTGCAGATGCGAAATACTTATCCGCCAAGAAGAAAGGACTTGCTAGTTTTTTACCCTATCGTTCGCTACAAGTTTCTTGTAATTTGGCAGTGGGGCGTGTCAAACTAGTCATCACACGAACGTGGGCTGGATTGTCTGCAATGACCTGAGTGTTTCCTCTTACAAATGCTGTTGACAAATTACTGATTATTGTTAGAACCTTCACGTAGCTTTTCCAAACAAGCAGACACGCTATAAGCCTTTTATTTGATAGGAGAAGTTTTGCCAGTCCTATTCTTAAACATTTCCATCTTGCCCGCTTGTTGAATCCAGAGTTGTTCCTTGATGACAAGGAACATTCTAATGAGCAAAAATTTCAGGCACATAAATTAATATTTATGCATCTATGGTTTCAGTTTAAAGACAGTTGCGTCACGTTATATATTGAGTCATTTCACTTGAAAGTAAGATTAAAAAATAATGACAAAGTTCGGTGCTCTTAACTGCGTTGAGACCCTTTTATTTGTGACTCGGAAGTGGGTGCGCTGCGGTGAAAATTTTTATACCAACCACGTAAAGTTTGTTTAGGGGCCGACCATTTAACTTTTGAGAGGGGGGGTTGGGCGATTTTGAAAAAAAATTTCCTGCAAGCGCTTGTTGGAAGAAAAAAATTGCATGCAGCCCAAATGTAGCAGAAAAAATGTACCAAAAAATCGGAAATAAATATCCTGCATAGCAGATTGCTAGAAAAAAAATTTGTTGATGACCAGAAATCACCCACCCCCCTCAATAGTTAAATGGTCGGCCCCTAAAAGTTCTTTAATCATTTTCATTGCAAATGAATTTCATGAAAAGATGCCGAGCTACAAATGTGACGCCAGGGCGCATTTACGTTCGTAATGATAAAAAAGATCGAAGTTTACCGCGCACCACTACCTCTCAATTAAAGAGCCACCTGTCTTTGTCAAAATGCCAGTATTCTTCAACTCACTCGGTGTAAAAGGTTTTGGAACTCACAAGAGTCATTAATTTCGCTGTAGAAGGTTAAAGATACAGATATATTATAATTATATATATAATTATTACACGACTCGGGCAGTCAGAGGGCCAATAACTAAAATCAACCTATCAAAATGCTCTCTTTCCGGTCAATATTCTCTCAGTATTGGACCGGGCACTGTCCCGAATGGTCCTGAATGATACTGCACTTGTGTCCCTTTGAACTTCAGTCATATGATAAATCTCTTATTAACCAAGCTTGCTCGGGACCGTACTGAAAGAATATCGGTCCTCGGTCTTTTTTGTACGGACCTCGCTGCGCTCGGTCCGTACTGTCAAGACCTCGAGCCGATATTCTCCCGGTACGGCCCTCACGCTTGGTTAATAAGATATATATATTCATTTTCTATAGAATTCTTTTCTTTTTTTATTTTTTTATTTTCCCCTCTTGTGCCCACCTCGAATAGCCCTAGCTACTTGCGGGCCCAAGCATTGTAATTTTCCGTATAAATAAAATAAAATTTGTTGTTGTTGTTGTTGTTGTTATTGTTGTTGTTGAACAATGCAATGAAAGATCGTACAACACTGTACATAAGTTTCTGCCTGTTAATCCGTCTTAGGGAAACTGCCTTTACTCAGGAAATTGTAGGTTTTACAATTGGATGAATGTTGATTATTCTTTCTGCTGCAATGACCGTAAAACTTATTATGAAAAGGCAACTCTTTGGAGTTAATCACCGTGTTTTTAGGGCCAATAGACTAATTTCTTTGTCTTAACACGGGTGAAACTAAACTTAAAATGCATTTAACGATTTTTTGGCGCTCGTTTCAGAGTTAGTCTTCTCATTTTCAATTGAGGAAAAAAGATGACTTAGGCTGGGATGGTTAAAAATAGAGAAGATTTACAAGGATGACAAATGACAAACCTCGAAACTTTTACTGATGTACTTATAGTTACTTATTGCGGAGAACTAAGCCTAAAAGAGAATTACATTTAACCGAAAATATAAGAATATCTAGAAGTAACGAATTTGAGAGTTTCGCTCGCTGAAACCATCGGTTTTGCTTGCCGCACAATTGCAATTAAACTTGTTAACATTTTTCAGAACCTGAACCAAGAGGAAATTTATCACGGAATTCTGTCAAATGTGATTATCGAGGGAAATGGTGTAAATTCTTTTGTTTCACGACTTGTTTTAACAAAACAAGTGTTGACCTGTTTTGTTTTTATCGAACAAAAAAGATAAATAGAGCAAGCTAACATATCTTATAGGAGAAGAGTCACTTAGAACGAGAAGATTACGGACTATTTTGTGACCAAAATTATTTACCTATTTTTTATGAGATTATTGATACTAGAGACCGAAAAATGAAAAAAGGTTTATCCGCATTTGCTGGATTGCGTGCGTCGTGATCCGAAAAGTTACAAAATGTTAATTTTACTGTTGCGTTTTTCCTGTCGTCAATCCAAACCTATAAGTAAATTTATAAAAGCATTCTTCGAAGGTCCATTTGAAGTAGGTAAATAATTGTTATGTGGCTGTTGTCACACTTGTGAGATAAGTATAAATGGGGCGAATTGGTCAAAACCATCTTTGACCATAGCATTTGATAGAATTAGGTGTTGGCATGGAAACAGCACTGGAAACATTGTTCGTAACAGCGATGCAAACAATAGTAGAATAATTTGTGAGCGGAAAGTAAAATGCAAAATAAGTTAAAGAAAAACACACCTGCTCATATAGAGCTGAAACAAGAGATGAAAGTATATGTATAAGCCATGGTTCTCGTGTTTACCCAGTTCAAAACGATTGCCATAGTTTTGTCGCGGTAACCCGCTAAAATGGCGGCGCTGAATGCAGCGATCGGACGGAAGCGATTCTCACAAGTGAAGATGCTTCTTGATATCGGAGTTGATGTTAACCAGCAGGATTCTGAAATGAGGCGGACTGCTCTAATGCAACTTTGCTTTCTCGACGATGAGAGCAAAGCGGCCAAATATGTTAAAATATTACTTAAAAGAGGAGCGAAAGTCGGTTTGAAAGACAAGGATGGACTTACTGCTCTTTCGCACGCCTGTAAACTCGGACTAGAACAACTAGTTTCGATTATGCTTGAAGAGGAAGGTGATTTTGATCTCAACTCGCAAGATAAGCTCGGAAACACAGCACTCCACTACGCCGCGTTGTCAGGCAATTTCGTGGTCTTAAATCTTCTGCTGAACAAATTAAAACGTTTTAAATTGAGCGTCGACAAGGTGAACAAAAGAGGAGAAACCCCCTTGATTGTCGCGTCCAAATCAGGGAATTTCTTTTGCGCACGAATTCTCGTTTCAGAAGGAAAAGCTTCTAAAGGGGCGCGCGATTATATCGAGTTCAAAACTGCTGAAGAATGGGGAAGAACGAAAGAAAGTCTTCGCTCCGCATCGAAATCACCGCTTTTTCGAGTAATGCAGCTTCCCCCTCGAATCTCTGTAGATTCTCAAAGCCGAGGATCAAAGGATAATGTTCATTTACCAAAACAGAAGGATAATAAGAGGCCGTACACCGCACCAGGGAACCTATTGAACCTCCCAATCGAGAGAAGCCATCGGGAAAATCTTCGAGATCTCTTTCATGTATACGAAGGGCACGTCTCCAACGCGTTTCGAATCGGAGTTAAACCGAGACCTGTTACTGTGACCACAGAATCAGTTTGCAACATCAACGAGAGCACTAATCAGGATGATGATGATGATATTTGCGAGCTGCCTGATCGCTCGGTGTCGCCGATTTCTTTCCAACCCCTCAATCGTCGCTTTAGCATAAGTAAAGCAAGCAAACTGGCTCTCAACGCAAACGCTGTTTTCAGGCGGGCTTCCTTAGCAACGGTCCCAACAACCGGCAGCCCGAGTAAACCGTTACAACGGCGAGGATCACAATCGTTCGGCCCGAACACTGGTAGAAGACTTTCTCAATCGATGCCTTTGTCGCCGAGAGTCCGTAGAGGCTCGATGAACGTGATGAGTCAGATCACGAAAGTGGCCTCACTTAATGTAAACAAAGAAAAGAGCGAACCGAAAAACACTTTGGCTCCTGCTGACGCTAATACTTCACCTTCAACACCTTCCATTTCTGTAAACTCGGACAAATTGTTTGCCAAACTTCAAACTTTGGCCGAGGAAAGTGATTCTGAGGAAGAGGAAAACAGTAGCGAGGTTTTACTAAGAAGCTCACCGGCAAAGCTTTTTTCACAAATGTGACTGTATTTTTACTAGGCGGAAAAAAAGCCAAATAATAAAATTAGTAAATTGTGTGCCTTTTTGAAGCGACAAGCGTAGAATAACTTAAAGTTAATGAAATCAAACTAGGGCCAAACAAGGCTAACAAAGGAAAAATGCCTGAAGTGTAGGATTTATTTTTTAGAAGACAAAATTAATTATTTCAGAAGAAATGAGGAAAAATATATTGTTCGCCGACTACTGTCAAAAGTGATAATTATCGTTTGACTAATGGAGATTTCATTTGTATTCTCATTGGCGAGCTCAACTCGTTCAGAGAAGTTTATTGACCTTAGCCCAACAATTTTAAAAGCGAAATTCAGCCTTTAATAAGTGCAAGTAAAGATTGGCTTTTTTCTCCTATTTCAGTGACTATTCTATCGCTTCTATGTTCGCCTTGTGCTAGGTAAACAAAATAAGACTCCCGGAAAAAAAATTACCGGTAATGAGAATCGATCGAATGATCGATCGAACATCGTCGACATTCGTATTGAATCGATTGTGCTGATCGCAGTGATCGGAATGAATTAGTGCTCTCAGTGAAATCATCAGAGAACTTAAGTAAGGATGTGTTTTCCATAATTTCTATTTCGACAGCGTTTTCGTCCATTCTAAGACACAACATTTCATTTTCCCACATGGTCCAAAAATAAACAAATCGTAGCTTTTCAAACTGTATTCACTCACTGCTTCAAGATCTCAACACATTTTTCTTTTTTTTCAGCTGATCAACTTCACAGTTGGCGTTTAGATTCTCTATGTTGTAAGACCGACTTTTCCGTGTTAAAGACTCAATTTTTCATCCAATCTACTGCAGTTAAGACCAAACATTGCCTCCTCTGTCACCTCAGCGCACATTCTTTGGCTGCTACTTGCCACT